TCTGTCTGTCTGTCTGTCTGTCTGTCTAAACCGTCTCCATCCTCTCTTATCACCAGTGTTCCTGACAGTCCACATGAACCAGACCCAGAGCCGTATGAACCAATGCCGCCTCGTCTCATCCCTCTGGATGAGGTTAGTACACACACACACACACACACACACACACACACACAGTGTATACGTGTGTGTAATAGCGCTCCTGCTCAGCTGTCACTCCCCCCTCCCCCTCAGGACTCCTCCATGATGGACGATGGCTACGTGGAGCCGATGGACACCTCCTCCCAGCCGGGCGCTGCCATGGCGCAGACGGAGAGCTCCAAGCTGCCGCCGGTCCTCGCCAACCTCATGGTCAACCTGAGCAACACCTCGCGCAGCCCGCAAGCTACCAACACCGTCAACAACCCGGTGCCCCCCTCCGTCAACGTGCAGGAGCTGCTCTCCTCCATCATGGTAACGACCAGCTGCTGTTTTTAGTTCAGGTCTTTCACCTGCTTCAGGTTTCAGTCTCTGTCTCCGGCTCGTAGCTGATAACAGCGTCTGTCCTCAGGGCGCGTCCGGGAACCAGTCCACCGAGGACCTGATCAAGCAGCCCGACTTCTCTGACAAGATCAAACAGCTGCTGGGCTCCCTGCAGCAGACCCAGAACCAGAACCAGGGTGGACCCCCACCAGGTGAGCCGACGACATCCGTGACGTCCACCTGTCCAGGTGTCTCTGTCCCTTCGCTGTTTTAAACCTGTTGTTCTCTCTGTCCAGTCAACCAGGGTTTACTGGGCCACGGTCCGGGCATGAACAACATGAACAACATGAACAACATGAACATGCACATGCAGATGCCCATGAACGGCGGCTACCCCCCCAACAACCCGCCGGGCGGTCCCCGCTTCAACCACCCCCCGCCCCCTCACAACCACGGGCCACCGTTCAACGCCGGCGGAGGGCCACGCATGATGGGGCCGCCGCCGGGCCAGGGCCGGGGAGACAACGGCAGCTACTGGGGAGACGACTCCATGAGAGGAGGGCCCCACAGGGGGGGCCACTTCCACCGAGGAGGCCGGGGCCGAGGAGGAGGAGGAGAGCCGGGCTTCAGGGGCCGAGGACGAGGAGGGCCCCGAGGAGGACACAACAACATGAACGGTACGTGTCTACAGAAGGATTCGATTTCGGGGGGGGGGGGGGGGGGGGGGGGGGGGGGGGGGGGGGGGGGGGGGGGGGGGGGGGGGGGGGGGGGGGGGGGGGGGGGGGGGGGGGGGGGGGGGGGGGAGTGTGTGTGTGTGTGTGTGTGTGTGTGTGTGTGTGTGTGTGTGTGTTCTGTGATTGTGACGCCGTGTGTTTCCTCCTGTCAGACATGTCCAAGAGGCCGGTGTGTCGTCACTTCATGATGAAGGGAAGCTGCAGGTACGAGAGCAACTGTGCGTTCTACCACCCCGGGGTCAACGGCCCCCCGCTGCCCCCCAACCACCCCGCCAACAACCAGCACAACCAGCACAACCAGCACAACCAGCACCCGCAGCACGGACACTAGGCGACCTGCTGCCAACACGGGAACAACTGTGTGACCTGCTGACCTCTGGAAGAGCCGTTCTCTGATCAAACCACTGCAGGAAGTCGTGTCTGAGCGTCAGTCGACAGGTGACCTCACCTGAGAGAACAAAACACAGAGACAGTGACGTGAGACGATCACTGAAGGGACTGTGTTTTTATTCTGATCATTTTTAATCGTGAGACTGAAACTAGCCACCACACGTGACCACTGTGTTGCTGCAGCTCGCTGCCTCTCTGCTCCGTCACTGTCCATGAACATGGCCGACCCTCCTGCTGCTGCTCCTCCTCCTCCACCTCCTCCAGACTGACTTCCTTCATATTGTGGCTGATGTGTTCCTACATGTGGTGTTGCTTTCATACTCCCTTTAGTTGAAAGACCTCATCGGTCAGTTTGCCAGAAGAGTCGGACATGTTTTCTGTTTTTACATGAATCTTAAATGTAGGAAGCACTTTATGAAGATAAATTTACCAACGGCTCTGATTTACTAAAACTGGGACTGAACTACGTGGTATTTAAATCTGTAAAACTTTATTTCACACAGTCCTGAGGAACGTTTTGAAATGAACTCTGCGGAGCTGCCGACGAAGTTCCCGCCTCTTTTCTTTTCTCACAGCAGCTGGTTTTGAATGTGAAGAGACTGTGTGTCGGACCGTCGGCTCCACGTGCGCGTGGCACAACAATCATGGACGTGCCGTGGTGCTGTCAGACGAGCGGCGTCTCCCTGAGCCCAGAGCTGCCGCCTGCCTCTCCTCACCTGACCCCGGGGGGGGGGGGGGTCATATCGTCAGTGTTAGAGTCAGATGAATGATGAACTGCTCTGTGGTCAGTTATACTCAATGTTTTCTGTGAAAACAACGACCTTTGTGTCTCTTGTGGGACTGTAAGAATGTCATGTTTTTTGTTGCTCTCTCACCCTCCATGTTTTTTGTTTTTTTTGTTGTTTTTTTTTTTGATCATATTTTCAGTTGAAATCTTTTGTACACAGTGTATTAAATAAATGCCCAAATATAAATGTTGCTGTGTGAAAGTGTGACGGCCGACAACAACCAGCAGTTTGGATTCAAAGAATAATTACAGGGATCGAACATAAAGCTTTTAAAGACACACACACACACACACACACACACACACACACACACACACACACACACACACCACATGAACACATGAAGTGTTTTCAGTCTTCCATACTGTCAGTCCATAAGATCAGAGTTTCATCAACATGGAGGAAACTGAAAGACAATAATTCATATATTATTAATCTGCTCCCTCAGACTCACTGACACCATCAGTAGAATTATAATATCTGAACAGATTTGCTGATGTAAAATATTTCTTTATTATTCCCACAGTGAGGAAATGTTCAGCTTTACAGCAGCTGAGTGAAGAAGAAAAAACAAATGTCAGAACCAAGATAAAGAATAGAATATTAATATTAATAATAATAATAATAATAATAATATTTTGTACAATTAGACAATGAATTTAACAAAACCCGACAACACTTGACAAAGGCAGAAGTGAAAGATTATAGAGAGAATATTAAAAGTGATGTGAGGTAAAGAGCAGGTGTGTCAGTGTGTGACGTGAACACAAAGAGTGTGTGTTAGTATTTCCCACCTTTATCTGAGCTGCTGCATCGAACTTTACTTTTATCCAAGTGGCTGCATCCTATTAGAGCTGTGTGTGTGTGTGTGTGTGTGTGTGTGTGTGTGTGTGTGTGTGTGTGTGTGTGTGTGTGTGTGTGTGTGTCAGATCCGTGTTATCAGGGCAGGGCTGAGTGCAGCTGGTGAATGTGTTAGCAGGAGTGGCCTTTGACTCTGCCCTGCAGTTCAAATATTGACCATGGTGCCGTGACAACACAGTGACGGGGGGCGGGGGGGGGGGGTAAGGACACCTCAGCACTAACCTGCCCCCACATCCTGGTTACCAGCATCACAACACACAGCATCAGCATGAGAGGGAAACAGGAAAGGAATAAAACGACATCACAGTGACATCACAGTGACATCACAGTGACATCACAGTGACATAAAACATGATAAATGACACATTTCAGATCTGGACTGAAATACACAATATTAACATATTAAAATGAGTCAGTGACACTTTCTTTCTTTCTTTCTTTCTTTCTTTCTTTCTTTCTTTCTTTCTTTCTTTCTTTCTTTCTTTCTTCCTTTCTTTCTCTCTCTCTGCAGTGTCTCCAGTCTGAAGTTAGTTAGTAGTTACAGACTTTAACAGATCACAAGTGATGCTGATAAAACTTTAGATAATTTACCAAAAAACTAAATTTTTATTTGATTTTTTATTTTCATTTATTATTAAAGTTTCATTGAAAAAGAAAAACAATGATCAAAGTTTAAAGCATCAGACACTGATTTGCTTTAATACGATTTCACTGTCACTTCCTGCTTCTTATTTCTGTACAAGTGAAAGTTTTAAACCAGTGAAAGCAACAGTGAGGAAACAGTGCACCTGTCTCAGGTGAGAGCGGCCGCTGCACGAGCTGCAGTGAAAGGACTGATTCAGTCCCTGAGGCCCGGACCAGGAGGAGAACTGCCAACAAAGCTCCATTGATGCAGCCAGGACACACACACACACACACACACACACACACACACAACACACACACACACACACACACACACACACAGACTCCTCGTTCGTGTCCGTTAACGTTCAGATTGCCCCCCCCCCTTAAGAAACCCGGGTCTCCATCTTCATGACTGAATCAGAGTGTTGACTTTGTAGGAATGGCGCCTTCACTTGCAGCTCAGAGCCAATCACAGAGGGACTAATCACCTTCCTCAGTTTCATGCTGACCTGTCCTTGGATCAGAGCCAATCATCCCAGTCCACAGGTGTCTCACCTGAGCCCGTGTCCAACCTGCAAAACGATTCTTATGACAGGACGTGAACATTTTTCACTGAATCCAAAACTACCTTCACAATACTGATGATTTAAGATTCATGAGTGAATCACAGGTGACACCGCACCTCAGTCCTCAGGTAAATACAACAAATATAAATATATAAAGTTATAGAAAGATTTCATACTTCATACTTTTGTTCCCTGCACTTCCAACATCAAGTTAAAAGTCATATTAATGAGAAAAGGCGCTGCTCCCTGATGATGATGATGATGATGATGATGATGATGATGATGATGATGATGATGATGATGATGATGCCGTTTTAAAGACTTATTTGTGCCTTAAGGTTAAATATTGACACTTAGTGTGTGACACCAGGACATCTCTGGCTGCACACACACACACACACACACACACACACACACACAAACTGCAGATTACCGGTTTCTCTAACGGAGTTTGTTTCGCAAACAAAATCGTCCAGAAGATTGAGCCTGAGGCTCAGCGGACGCGCGTGGGAGGAGGGGGAGAGGGCGGGGCCGCGCGCGGACAGGTGCTTAAATACGGGACAGGTGAGAGTGGAGGTACAGCTGCGGTCCGTACACATTCTCACCTGAGCAGACCCGAACAGGTAAGAATCCTCTTCACCTTCACCACAGGGAAATAAGGAGTCAGTTGAGAGTGAGTCAGTGTGAGGGAGAACAACCTGTTTAAAGACAGAAGGAGAGAAGCTGAAGTTTTCTTTAAAATGACATTTAAAGTTGTTTTTAAAGGAGAGTCAGTCCTGCAGGTTTCTGCTCTGCTTTAGATTTTAAATGTTATGTTTCTTTCATGATTTGTGTTTCCTGGTCACTGCTGTGTTTGTCCAGTGACTGTGGTTCTGTAGCTTGTTGCTCAGGTGTAACTGCAGGTGACACTGGAGACTGGGACTGTGAGGAACCCGCCTCTCTCCTCACTGTCTGTGGAGAGACTTTCCACAAAATAGTGACATCAGTTTCCTCTAGGCAGAAACTACGGAGGAGGATTAGGGCCACATGTTTGTTTTTTTGAATTCTGACTTTAATCTCAGAATTTGATTCCCACGTGGCCCTAATCCTCTTCCATAGAACCACCGGAGGACGCAGGTGCACACGTTTCCTGAGTTCATGTTCCTTAATTTCAGGGTGAAACGGTTTGAGTGTTCAGCGTTAGTGATTTGTGTCTCTGCCTTTGTCGCCTCCTCGTCTTCCAGGAAACCTCTGAAGATGATCAAAGCCTTGGTGTCCGTGCTCCTGGTCCTGGCGGCCGTGTCCTCTGCCTTTGGGAAATACATGCCAAAGACTGGCAAGAGGATCCCTCAGACTCTGTCTCGAGGTCTGTGAGAATCGCCTGAAGCAGTTTATTGAACACTGAGATAAAGAGAGTCTGTCACTGAGCTTTCCGTGTCCATGTCTGTCCAGGTTGGGGTGATCAGCTGGTCTGGGCTCAGACCTACGAGGAGGGTCTCTACTGGTCCAGGTCAAGGTAGGAAACAGTTCGAACTCTGACTCTGACCTTCATTGAAGCTGATGACTGGATGTAAGTGAAGCTGATTTGTATTTCAGGAACAAGCCTCTGCTGGTCATCTTCCACCTTGAGGACTGCCCCCACAGTCAGGGTGAGTCCCACTCCCAGCTGCTATTATCAGACTTACTGAGTCACTCATGCAGAAAACCAAGAACCAAACCTGTTTGAGGAGGAAGCAGTCGTGTGTTTGCTCAGGTGTGACGACACCTCACATCCTGGTGCAGTCCTGTAGAACTAAAAACCTGTTTCTCCTGCAGCACTCAAGAAGGTTTTCTCTGATGACAACCAGATCCAGAAAACTCTTGATGATGACTTCATCGTCCTCAATCTGGTGGTAAGTTACAGGACGCCTCACAGCTCCTGCAAACCTCTATTATTAACTATTCATGAGTAAAAATACAAGTTTTATAAAAAGCATTGTTGGTTTTATTTACCAAGAGTTTCTCACTCTGTTGTTTTTGGAGGACCAGGGACGTCACAGGAAAAATAATAAAGCATTTCCTTAATTTTTCATATTTTAAAAGGCATTAAAAATATGAACTGTGAAAATAATTTGTAAACGTACTGTTAATCCATCAATAAATATTCAACATTTAAAAATGGCTTTACAAAAACAGCAGAAAACTCTCATTAAATGAACCATTAGAAACACATTTATTAATTCATGAATAAATATTTGAAAATGCATTTTTTAAAAATGGGAATAAATAACTGGATTCTCTTTTCAAGAATTAATAAATGAATGATTAATCTATCAATAAAGGCTTCAGATTTAAAAAATACATTTACAAAAACCTGACTGGTTAGCTCTCCAACCAATCAGAGAGCTTGTTCCATCCTGTGGCCAATAGGGATTGTTTAGCCTGGTTTTAAACTGGAGGCCCAGAGTGTCACAGAGAGGCTAACAGGAGAAGCTAATGGCTAAGCTAATTGATTAGCTAATAGGAAAAGCAGCTTGAAAAGGAAATGGAAATTTATTTTTAAAATATCTTTTCAAATTCTATTATTTATTCATGATTTAATAAATATATTTATAAATGATTTATTTAATGAGAGTTTTATACTGTTTTTGTAAATCCATTTTTAAATCTTTAATATTTATTGATGGATTAATCATTCATTTATAAATTCTTCTTCTACAATTCTTAAATTTTAATGCCTGTTAAAATATGAAATTAAGGAAATGCTTTATTGATTTCCTGAGACGTTCAGCTGTCAGACACCGGCCGAGCTGCTGCAGCTCCTCGTCTCAGTAATAAAACCTCCAAAGCTTCACATTGTTCTTTTCTCTCCGACAGTATGAAACCACAGACAAACATCTCTCTCCTGATGGACAGTACGTTCCCAGAATCATCTTCGTCGGTAAGAGTCACTGTCTGGAACTTGCTGCTGGACCTTCAGTTTTCACACAGTGCCTAACATTTTGACCTTTGACCTTCATTATAATATCCGTTTAGTTGTTTGTTTCCTTTCAGTATTTACTGTGTCAACAACAGCTCTATTGTGATTATTATCTACTTTTCCTCCAGGGCACCATTGATGTGTCAGTGTGTGTAAACACCTGTACTGTGTGCTAATGGTGTGTGCCTGTGTGTGTGTGTGTGTGTGATGAGATGACTAGCAGAGGAGAAAGTATTCAGATCGTTCAGCAACACAAAGTCCTGCTGGGACAGTGTCACAGAAGTAAAGACACGAGTACGATTAGCAAAGAACAACGAAGAAATCCCCACGTGAACGTCACATGATCTTTATTTCATTATTATTGTTTGGTGCATTAATGAGGCAGGAACATTGTCAGCTGTAGTCGGTGAAGGTTATTTTAAATACACTGGTGTAGAATCTTAATAAAGTAACTACGGACCAGTGAGGAGCGGACGTCATGGTTACGTCACTGTTGTGAGCACAAACACAGACTTTCTGTAAAAAGGAAATAATGTGCTGCTGTGTCGTTGGCTGTCAGAATAGCAATTAATTTATCACACAAAGACAAAAGTCATTGATGTAGTTAATAATGATAAACCAGGAACAGCAGCAGACACAGAGCTGGAGTTTTCAGTGAGCTGTTTCATAATGGTGAACACCACTGACCAGCGTTAGCAACATTAGCATGTCAGCAGACGTAGCATGTAAACGAACTGCTCAGAGACAGTTGAGCTCCACCATCACTCAGTGTTGACACAGCTCCTGCCTCACCCTCGACCTCCGCTGTCTCCACAGACCCCTCCATGACAGTGAGGGCTGACATCACTGGTCGCTACGCCAACCGCATGTACGCCTACGAACCAAGTGACATCAGACTCTGTAAGTGCTGCAGCTGACACGCCGTGAGTTTACACACACACACACACACGCGGACTGTGACTGACTGTGAATGTTTCCCGCCTCTTCCTCAGTGATTAGCAACATGCAGAAGGCCAAGAAGCTCCTCAAGTCTGAGCTGTGAGCGCGAGGACGAGACGCAGGCTCAACCAGAGACCTGATCCGGGGTCAGCGTCACCACAGACGCCAACAACACGCGGCCACCACAGTTTACACAAAGAAAAATAAGCACTGGAAAGTTTCCTCTCTTCGCCTTCACCTGAAAAGTTTCCCCCTCCCGATTCTTACCTTTGTTGTTATTGCTTTTCATCCATAGTGTCTTTTAAATAAATATGGAACTGTTCACTCAGGTTGGATCCTCAGCCTTTTTATTTACCAACAGGGAAATATGAAACTCACACATACAAACAGACGGTCATGCTACTGCTGTTTCCACCATTACTGCTAGCATGAAAACATAGAAGCTAACGGGAACATCACAGCATTTAGCTCCAGCATGGCATTTAAAGCAAGTTAGCCCTCTACAAGGTCACTGGTCACTTAGCTGGTTAGCTTGGCTAAGCTACTAGCCAAACGTTTGTTAAAAAAATCAACACACTGAATGTTTCTGGATCAACTGTGGTTCAGTGATTTGATGGTGATTGAGTCTTTTTCATGGTGCCAGTTTCTGATGGTCAGCGGGGACGGTGGGAAAGGAAGTTCTCTTGGCCATGAGGGGGCAGCAGAGCGAGCTGTAGACCCAATACCTGACATTATCACCTGATGTGTTAGGAAGCAGTTTCCTGCAGACACAGAGCACACAACAACATGAGCATTCATTTAACGTTGTTTGTGTTCACCTGATGGATCCATGACAGGCAGGTGCTCCTTTCTCCACCAGCTCCTGAGGGACAATACTCTGTGTTCATCAGCTGCTCTCTGACCGAGTCTGTCTGCTGCTCAGGAGAAGTGAAGCACAGCAGATAATTCTCTGAGCGCAGCCTCATTTACATTCCCCTTCGTACATGCTGCAAGTTATTCAAATTCATGTGAACCGGCGTCGTAGCTGCTTCACTGTGAACACATTGACAGGTGCAGCTTTAAAGACATTTCCACGTTTCCAACATACATACTATGTTTTTTCAGAACTTCCTTGTGGTGCAGTGAACTCACCACTTCCTGCAGAAGGAGCTGTGCACATGAAAAAAACAGAAGGAAGCAACCTGACAGACTGCACGGAGGGTGCTAAACTACCACCGGTGCAGTTTGCTCAAATGCAGTGCATTCTGGGAATCATGCCAAACAGCTCACAATAAGTTTGTTGTTCATCTTGTTACATGATCAGTTCAGTAAATGATTGTCAGGAATGAACCATGAACAGCTTCACTGACTTAGTGATTCATGATTGATCCGATTTATATGAACCAACATACCGTCACAGGCTGGACTCTATTCATGGAGCACTCTGTGTAATCAGTGTGTGTTGTGTGTGTTTGACATCCTGGATGGGCGAGTTCACAGCCGGCGCTGAGAGGGTCTTCCTGTTGCTGGGTTACTGACTCAGCTGAGACTATTGTCCTGTGTCCTGGTCAGGATTTTAGCCGCCATCTTCTTCCCTGGGAGAATCAAACGAGACTGAAGAAACCTGAGACCGACATGAATTCATGCAGCCTGACCTGATGTGGTGATGACAGAGGAGGAGGGGAGGGGAACTGATGTCCACTCAGCGTCTGTAGGACGTGTCGTTCGAAGGCTGTTGCTGTAAAATAACTTGTAGTCTACACACACTTAGAAATGTAGTGTAGTAATGAAAGTTTTAGAGGTGGAAACAGATTCAAAGTCACGTCCCTGTTCACCTGCAGCTCAGTGTGTCCAACAGTAAGTGAAAGCATCATGATTTCTCAGCTCTGACTCTACAATAACTGCACATAGACGTCATGTGACCACATAGTTGCCAGATTGTGATCAATGCTTCTGTCTTTAATGAGTTTTTGTAACAAACTGTGAGTCAGTCAATGACAGAGTCGGTGTCCTCACCTCACTGGTTCACATGTGTTTGCATCTGTAAACAGCTGGTTGATCTCATGACTCATCCACTCACACCAGGTTTCTGATTTTTTATGCCTTCCTATACTATGACTATGAGAATAGGAAGGCATAAAAACGACAAAAAACATCATAGCATAATGAGGCATAAAAACCTGAAAAAAAAAGTCACAGTAAAGTAAGGTATAAAAACGCCATTATACGTCATAGTATAGTAAGGCATAATAAGGCATAAAAATGTCAAAAACGTCTTGGTATAGTAAGAGGGAAAACATTTTCAAAAAATGTCATAGTATATGTCTGCTGTCATGCTGTGGACACACAGCTCCGCTCGCTAACCGGAGCTACAAACAAGATAGCATGTTAGCTATTACTCACTAATCCCTGAGTTGTCATCTGGAACATGGTGAACAATGAGGAACTGGGTGATGCCCGGCGATGGGAACCATGAGTGGTAGGCTGGAGACAACAGTCCAGACCAAGCGATAGCTGCGCGGGAGACTTCTGCTCCTCCATGTGTTTCCTGGTCCTCTCTGTCTAAGTGTACAAGTGTGTACAAGACAGTTTTCACTTTACTCATTCTCTTCACTCATTTACCTCTCATCAGTTCGTTTAAGCTTTAAACCAGCTGACAACATTAACACAAACTAGCAACACACAGTAAAATTAGCTGCTTCTACATTGAATAAAATGCTATTATGGCTAGCGCGCTAATCGCGGTTAGCTTTTCACTTTAACACGTTAATGACGCAGTATAAACACACATACTTAATGACATTTGTTTATCCGTCTATAGCATTATTTAATCCGAAATAAACGACATCAACACAAACAACGTCACCAAAACAATAGAGTAAATGTTTTCTTACCTGATATTTCTGCAGGATATAAATTCACTGAACTTCTCTTAGGTGACCAAACAGATTCCGTCCGACCTTTCCTAATATTCCAGTTCTCCATTAAAACCCTACAACTCAAATTCGCTGAAAATAAGAATTTATCAGATATAAAATGATCCAGGAAACAGGAGACCGAGTAGCAGTGAGGAGTACAGACACCCAGCAGCACCTGGTTTTATGTTGCTTCCCTTTTCCCCAAGCTGGGTTGTATCATGAAGACTGCCAACATATGGTGACTGGTGAGACAGGCCCATGACATCATATACTGAACCTAGAAACCAACATGACTGTAGTGAACTGAAACCTGGTTCTGTGAACAGTCCACAGTCAGTAAGTGAAATACTTGGTGAGTAAAATTTCCCGGGCTGTTGTTTCTTCTTTACTTGCAGAAATCAACTGCCTGTTGCTGGATGTGAGTCCCACAGCGTCGGAGGTTTTACTTTCTCAGCAAAGTGGTTCCACAAAGGGTTTATATCTTGATGCTTCATGTGAGCAGTGTAACATCTACTGGCCTGAATGAAAAATGGGCAAATACAAATATTTGTACATCACAAATTGAATGTAAATATAAGGGAAAGCATGATTGTATTTTATAATCCAAGCACACATTTATATACTGTAAAAGTAAATCAAAATGTTTTGTCTGTGTCAATATCAGTCAAGTTAAGCTCAATGTCTTGCCAGAACTTTAGTTTTAAAATGTTTAAAAAGTGAATTAACACTATCAACAGTGTGTTAAGCAGCCACAGTGATGATGTCATGATCAAGACCTCCATCTGTTGTATTTCAGAGTCGTCGACTGAAATGCGCATGCGCACCAGCCAGCCCTGACCTGTCCTGTGTTGTGATACCACTTTGTGACGCTAGACGCTGTGTGAGTCGGTGGCGCGTCAAGTCTGCCCTCAGTCCCACGAAGAAGAACAACTTCCAGCAGCTCGAGGTTAGCATCACAGAAACACAGGAATGGCGGAACCTCCTAAAAGGCGATATTCATCTGCATCCCGAAGGACCGCTCCCGACAAGAAACCACGTTCAACGGCAAAGAAAAGAAGCAACACGAGTAAATCTCGATGTGGCTTTCCGCCGCTGGAAACAGCTCCTGAGAGGAAAGAGATGCGGTTTGATGCCGAGCTCGCAACTTTCCTGTTAGCATGGTGAGTAGCTTCAGTGTTAGCTCTTTAGCTAAAAGTATAATCAGTGCAACGACTGACAAACCGTACCGACAAACATTTCAGGTGGTGATATTGACGTTGTCGACAGACGTTTTAGCGGTTACTAGGATTGTGTCTGTTGCTCTCGGCTGTTGTACCGCTAGTGACGTCAGTAACTTTAGGCTCATCTTGTAACTGATGACTGTAACTTGAGATTGTATGGACCCAGTAGACCGAGTGAATACACGTCGATCGGTTTACCATGTTGTAACCACTTTACATTACTGTTAGGAGATCAGGCATGACTGAAAGTGCACTAGGTCTTTACATTTCTCAGGAGATTTCAGCATCCCTCTGTCTTTATCAGGACCTGAGCCAGTACAGATGTAATACTGCCTCCACCTGTCTCACCAACGGCAGAGAGTCCAGACAGTGAGGAGGGTCTAGGTGAGTAACATGCTATCATTCACTTTTAACAGTAAGACTTGTCTGTACCACTGTGATTAAATCAGACCCACAGTGTATACATGTTCATACTGCTGATTCATGATGACCTCAGTCAGTGTTCCCTCTTTTTTAGCTCTGTTTGGTCTCCACCAGCTCCTGAGGGAAATCTGTCTCTTCAGCTTCTTAATGCTCCACTATGTTCAGCAGCTGTTCTCGGACTGTGTCTGACTGCTGTTTGCTGCTGAGGAGGTTGTGGACAGTGGCTACGGCCAAAGAAGTTTATATATTCAAAGACGGTAACTGAATCATTATTTTACTGCACAGTTCTTCCTTTCTTTTTTTTTTCTTTTCTTTTAATTCTATTGTATTCAGGATGGCACAGTGCAAAGACTGGACACTGACTGTTTCCCTGGTAAAAATGGTGTAAATAGTTTCCATTGGGCACAATGCTGTTACTGTATGTACAGCACACAAACACCATCTCCACGATTTGGATTACCTTCAAAATAAAAGTCTCAACATGGTAAGAGGGAATTATTGGCTCTGTTGTACAAAACGTTATGCAATTTATACTGCCAAACACAGAAGCACAGACTCTTTCAAAATAAGAGTCTCAAAAAGGTAAGAGGTAAGGTAGGTCATAAAAGTTTGATCTTAGAAGCGATCGTCTATATGGGGATGTAGAGGTATAGCTTTATAGCAGATCAACTTCTGGCGCGTGTTTGTGTGTGTGTGTATACATGTACATGTGTGTATACATGTCTTGCTGTGGTTGTGGGGACACATTTGTGTTTGAAACCATCAGTGTGAGGTTATTTTGGCCAGCCGTGACAGCTCCAAAAGGCTTTTTGAGGGACAGCTGCAGTGACTGAGGTCAGTGTCAGGATCAGTCAGTGTTCACAGATTCAGTTTCTTGCCTTTTACTTCATTTCTACTGTTGTTGATAGATGATAGTAACAACATGTGAAGAGCAGAATGTGTTCAGCTCTAGCACAGTCACCACCTTCACAGGTGAAAGTATCAACCAGTTTAACATCAAACGGTGTTCAGTAGGAAACAGATGGAACTGACCCACCAGAACTGCAACCTGGAGCAAAACCAGACTCTTCATAGATGTGATGCTGTGACCTCAGAGACGGATGTGTTCACCTCACACACTCTTTAGTGTGAACTGAACACTGACAGTTCAGATTGTGAAGCAGTTGTCAGTGTAGTACAGCTCATGTTCATTAGTTTTATTCAGAACTTCATTGTTGTCATTGAAAAGGTGTTTAATAGATAAACCTGTGATTAAATTGTACTGAGTGTTTCTTCATATTTACCATCTGCCTCATGATGAATCTAACAGTCACTTTGGTGAATCAGTGTTTTCATTGTTATTTAAATTGGTAAGTTCATAAGACAAATTAGAAAAGCACAAACTCTAGTATCTGTCTCTAGATCCTGTATTGTCACTGTTGAAGGACGGACACATTTAAACATTTCTATCATGTTTGTTGTTGATTAAAGCAACATAGAAAGTCTTTGATTAATTACAGATTCAGGAAAAACTTCAGTGTGTTGTGATTTCTATACTGTGCTGCTGCTACTGTTAAAATTCATACCAGACACGCTCCATAAAAACCATCAACAAAGCAAAGCTTCATAAAACACTTTATTTCACATTAAAACTGCATTAATTTCAACAATTTACAATCAACTAACTGACTAAAATAAAATACAGTTGTGAATGAAGGTACAGGTGAACTTCACTGTCACAAGTTTGCATCATAAAGAGGTGGATAAATCTTATTTAGTAACAAGTAGAAATGTAAAAATAATGACTGTTGTGTGATAAACCATTTTCCTGCTTTCCTCCCAGTGCATGCTGGGATACATTCCAGTACTTCAAACTTTTTTTGTTTGAAGTTTGAATGTTTGATGTGATGAAAAAAAGTTTGCTACATTTCATCCAGAATTACAAAGTTTGAATGTAGAAGTCACATAAATGTAAAACTAATAAGATTCACCCTGAAATTACAGAGAAGATCTTTAAATTGTTCATATGGACATTAACCTTTATAATAACAAGCTACATTTTAATTACAGATAATTACTGTCATTTTACACACTCTTGTACACAATTAAAAAAAAAAACAAGAAATGACTGTTAGAAAACTTAGTTATTTTCTGTAAAATTTGGATTTTATTTTTTTACAGTGTGGTATAGTATGGCATAAAAAACGTCAAAAAACTTCATAGTATAGTAAGATATAAAAAACGTCACAGTCATAGACTTTTATGTTGTTGCTGCTGCACCACATCATATACTTGTTCACTAGTTTGTGGCTCAGGCGGCAGAGCGTGTCGTCCACTAATCAGAGGGTTGGTGGTTTGATCTCCTGCTCCTCCAGGCCGGGTGTTGAAGTGTCCTTGGGCAAGATACTGAACCCCACGTTGCCCCTGATGACTGTTCCACCAGTGTATGAGTGTGATGCAAATAATGTAAAAACACTGTGAAGAGAAGCGCTGTATAAGTGCAAGTCCATTTCCCATTTATCTGTCTGATTGACAGATCACATCAACCTAGATAGCTCGTTAGCAACAGGAAAGAGTTAGCGACAGATGATGAATCGACAGCTGATCTCTCCTGTCAAACAAAACAGTAAAATTGAACTTCCTGTGCTATCATTTCACTCCTGAATGTTTGTTATCATTCTAACGAAAAGAGCTCTGAGCACGTGTTATTTAGCTTCTGTATTGTTACAAGGTCGGATGTGGGCCGCCAACTCTTGAGACTTTCTATTCTGGGTTGGAAAAGGTTGAGAACCACTGATCTAAAGACAGTTTTTTTTATTTCTGGGAACATTTCTCGGATCCTTTCAGAGTCAGGACTTGGTCCGTTGCTGCTCAGCATGTCGTCGCCTCATGAACAGAAAAAAACAAGGTACAATTAAATCCTGCCGTTGACCGTTGTCCTGCTCTGCATCATATCTAAAGCTCTGCAGTCTGCTCTAATTAGTGGATCAACTGATAAAGACAGTCTACGATTAAATTATGATCCAAATTAAACTTTATGGACCTCCCACCTATAAATCTGATATACTTAGAATCAGGAATCTCTTCAAACAGGTGGATTTGTTTTGGAAACAAGTTGAAATAATATATTTTTTAGCTGTTTTAAGAAAATAAAAACTTTGAGGTGTTAATAGAAATAAGCCAGGGAAGCAGATTTCTTTTTCTTCCAGTATTGTTTTATTGTGTTTTACAGTACAAAGGCTCAAACAGGTGCTTCACAGAATCATCATACAGCAACTTAGAGTCATGCAAAAGGCCAAATACACAGCAGGCAGCCAGGAGCAAGACACACACACAGACACACACACACACACACACACACACACACACACACACACACACACACACACACACACACACACACACACACACAGTAAAAACAGTTGCAGGTCATCACCTGTATCCTTCATTCTTTCACACAGTGTTGACATTATTGCGTTCAGTGGGACCGACTGAGACAAACAACAAACAAACAAACAAACAGTGTACAGGGTCAACATCAGGCAGGTGGCATAAATACTGGAACATACAGCAGACTGCTGTGGACAATGTTCCCTCTTTTTTACCCACAATGCTCAGTGTACTAATTGTGTGTGCTGGTGTGAGACACGTCTCTTCACACACAGAACACACTTCACACACGTCACATCAAACAGCACGGCTGCAGCAGTCAGTGGAAACACACAGGTCGATCTCGTATTTACAGGTGAAGCCCAGAGAAAGTTCACAGAGGTGGAGAGGTGACAGCGTGCAGACGCTTCAGCCGGCGGCCGCCTCACAGGAAAGCGCTGGGGTTGGCTCTGGGGTCCTTCTGGTTCCTGTAGCGATATGTGAGCCACACTCCCAGGATCTGACAGACCGACACAGCCACAGTCAGAAACAACAACAGTAACACTCGCCTGACCCGTGGTACAGTGTGTCTGTGTGTGTGTGTGTGTGTGTGTGTGTGTGTGTGTGTGTGTGTGTGTGTGTGTGTGTGTGTGGAAAAGCCTGACATACTGTAGGGTTAGCTCCATTGTTTCCAACTATTAAAACACATCAGTGAGTCTCACATGTTCCTTCATCACCATGAACACACTAGTTTAGTTTGACTCCGTCCCTCACACACAGTCCACCGCCACAAAGACTCACTGCAGCTGCAACTGTGGATTAATCCATCGCTGAAAATAGCGATGTACTGCTACTACTACTACTACTACTACTACTGCTGCTACTACTACTGCTACTACTGCTGCTACTACTACTACTGGTACTGCTACTACTACTGCTACTATTGCTACTACTGCTGCTACTACTACTACTGGTACTGCTACTACTACTACTGGTATTGCTAATGATACTACTACTGCTAAGGCTACTGCTACTACTGCTAATGCTACCAATACTGCTAATGCTACTACTGCTAATTCCATTGTTACTACTGCTAATGCTACCACTATTGCTAATGATACTGCTACTACAGCTCATGCCTCTGCTAATGCTACTGTTACTACTGCTAATGCCACTGCTAATGCTACTACTGCTAATACTACTGCTAATGCTACCAATACTGCTAATGCTACTACTGCTAATTCCATTGTTACTACTGCTAATGCTACCACTATTGCTAATGATACTGCTACTACAGCTCATGCCTCTGCTAATGCTACTGTTACTACTGCTAATGCCACTGCTAATGCTACTACTGCTAATGCCACTGCTAATGCTACCAATACTGCTAATGCTACTACTGCTAATTCCATTGTTACTACTGCTAATGCTACCACTATTGCTAATGATACTGCTACTACAGCTCATGCCTCTGCTAATGCTACTGTTACTACTGCTAATGCCACTGCTAATGCTACTACTGCTAATGCCACTGCTAATTCTACTACTGCTAATGCTACTGTTACTACTGCTAACGCTTCTGCTACTACTGCTATCATTTTTGCAATTACAGGTGCAATATAATATTACTACTATTACTGCTGATGCTCATACAGTATGGACCTATCATCCAACCCTCGGCAGTGTCATAGCTGTGACTCACCTCAGTGAAGCTGAAGAAGAGCCCGATCCCTCCCACGAAACGTAAAACTTTCCCAGCATGCTCCTGGATCTTATCTGCACAGGGGAGGCAGGAGTGGTTGGGGAAACACGCCTGCAGGAGAACCGGACACACAACACTTACTGAAATGTAACAGGGAGCAGGAAACCTCTCGTCATCCAGAGCAGATTCAAACTTACGGCGTCACAGGTGCCGTTGGGGTCCACCTGTCTGAAGCCACAGCAGTTGATGCTCTTCTCCACATCCCTCTGAGTGCTCCGAGAGTTGTTCCAGCCCACCTCCAGCAGGTGATCCTGCAGCACATACAGCAGCAACATGTGACAGTGTCTTCCATCCCCGTTATCAAAGGTCAAAGTTCAGAGTCCCCAGCTGGCCAGACTGTTTGCTGCCTGTCCCTGAATTTCGTGTCCGTCTCCTCTTTAATAAAGGTCAAAGGTCACCGTGACCACACAAAACATGTTTGTGGCCATAACTCAAGAATCCATGCACTAATTATGATCAAATACATTGAATACCTTTCACTAGATTCTGGATTTCTGGACAGACGTGGTTGTTTACATCCATGTGCTGATAATTCTAGTTATGTATTCATTTAAGTGACTAGTCGTCATCGCTGCTGAAGGTGAACTGTGGAGCTGTCGCACAGTACAATACAAATAGTGTTTTGGAAATTGTCATGAGATACTTTTGTGTATGAAGCAAAAGTCTGAGGCTCATTCAAGATCCTGAATCTCTCAAACGTCTTCAAGAGTCTAAAGTACTGACTGTTTTACTGCATCACATTTATCAGTGACTTCCTCCCACTCATTCACCTTTAAGAGCATCGCTCAAGAAATCACATGACTGATCACATGACTGATCACATGACTCATCAGAGAAAGAACAGCTCACATATAGACTGACCCTACATCTGCCATATTGTATATTCTGTAAAATCTAGGTCTGTGGTCAAAGTCTTTTTTTTCTTAGGAAGGGTAAAGGTGTGGAGTGGACCAGGTCTCCTTCTTCTTTTGTTTTTGTTTGTTTTTTGGGGGTTAGAGCCACTGAATGCTTTTTTTTTATGGTAAACTGCTGAAAGCGTCTCACAGCAGCTGATGACAGACTGACCACAGATTTAAAACAAGGCAGCAGCCAAAAGTTTGAGAATTTCCACTGTGTGTTAAAGAGGGTGACGTTCTCCTGTGAGCGCTGCAGTCAGTGTAAAGTTTATTCTTTATCACCTGTGGATAACAGATAAAGGTGAGGACGTGTACGTCAGCATCTACACTGAGGCTTTTTACTCAACAGAGAGCTGCTCCTCACTCAGATGCTGAGCTGTCAACACATGTTGGTGCTTGAGACTAATCAACAGTTCAGGAGCCACATGATGTGAGGTGAACAGTCTCAGCACACCTGTGCAGGTGCATTAGAGTGAAGAGTTAGAGTGAAGGTGTTGCTCTTACCTGCTGCTCTCGGTTGATGGCCAGACAGGCGCTGGACACAGAGAACTGCACAATGAACACCATGAACAGGACGATCATGTACTGAGCTTCACTGTCAAGGAACGACAACAGGTACACAACCTCCTGCACACCTGCACACCTGTACACCTGCACACACAGACTGACTGAGGAGGGAAACACGATGCAGCTCATGCATACATGAATGGAAAATGGATTTTCCAAAACACTGAGGAAGAGAGGGCTGAGTGCTGTAAGGCTGTAACACTACACGTATTTGTGCTTCCTTTGATCTGTTTCATCTACATCTATAAACGTCTGTCCGATCTGTTTCATCTATATCTATACACAGTAGCTCTTTACCTTAAGAAAATAAAAGCCTGATAAATAACGTGTCTCGTGGACGACGATGAATAAAGTTAAAGATAAACCTGCTTTAAAGTCACACGTTCATCTTTCTGGCTCCACTGGATTAAAATGGAGGCTCTGCTCTTCATTTACCCGTTGCCATGGAGATCCACTGATGACGGCTTCTTATATTCCTCGTGTACTTGGTTTTAACTCAGAGCTGATTTATCAGGGTCAAAGTTTGTTAAACCTGCTTTTTTATTCTATTTCCTAAAATGTCGACTTGTGTTTTTGCTCTGACAGCATCATCAATATTCAAATCAAGCTAGTGGCCACACCCCGATCAGTGATGTCACAGCAGGTGAAGGGAAACCCCTGACATGTTCTGGGTGATATCACCCAGCAGCTGGTGAAGGATACGAAGAAGAGCAGGACCTGGTGATGCTTCATGGCCCCGATGAGACCCGCCAGGGCCACGAAGAAGAGGAACACCCCCACACCGATGACGCCCCCCACCACCTGGAAGCTGGAGACCAGACCGAACCACTTCCCCCACGCCGCGATGCCAATCATCAGCAGACTGACCATCTGCAGGACGGACACACAGACACTACACATCTGTAACAGCTGTTACGTACGTGTGACGTCGTGTCGCAGCTGTGTGTGTGTGTGTGTGTGTGTGTGTGTGTGAGTGTGTGTGTGTGTGTGTGTGTGTGTGTGTGAGTGTGTGTGTGTGTGTGTGTGTGTGTGTGTGAGTGTGTGTGTGTGTGTGTGTGTGTGTGTGTGGACATGACCACAGACAGTGTGAGACAGTCAGGTGCAGCTGGCTGTGTTCACCTGCTGCAGCTGTTCACCTCTGGATACACTGAATGTTCTGGAAAACATCTGTTCTGTTTGAAGCCAGTGAAGTTCAAATCTACTCAGTGACTCTGGTTCACCTGTCACTGAACAAAAATGTTCAGGTGTTTTTTTTTGTTTTTGTTTGTTTTTTTGAACCATCTTTATTAAAACAACTTGAGTCACTTACAAATATAAACAGACGTCACAAACAAGTCTCTGTGTTATCGTCTATCATGAAGTATCACATAGTCTTTGTATAAATAAAATATATAACAACAATAAATCAATACATTTATGTAGAAGCAAAAACAGGAAAGTTAAAAAAGTCGCAGAGATAGAAATAAATAAATAAATAAACAAGAAGCGTCGATGTTTTCCGTTGAATTTTGAGAAAATTGAGAATTCACGTTATTTTCCGTTTTCTATAAATTACTTTCTTATAAATGTATTAGTGCATTTATGACTTTTAATATCTTCTATCTGTGTATCAGCGGTTACTGTAACTTCATAATCCTTTCATTAATTGCAAAAAAAATGTACCGGTGTCCTCCAATATATATGAACGTGATGACATCATCATCAAACAAGTTTCCTCCACACCAGGAGGAAACATTTTACAGCACAGGCTCAGTGGGACTCCCCTTTAAAATGACTGAAGGGTCTGTGTCCAGGCCCCGGTGAGGCCCCGGTGAGGCCCCGCCGCTGGCCACATACACACCTGTGCTCAGCGGTGATAAGCGCCCTCAGAGGCGGACACGACGTCCTCTGCTGTGGCGGAAGGACACACATTAAAGCCTAACAGCTGGACACTCAGATCTCCGGGTCTCATTCGTTTCAGGCCTGACCACAGCCAGCATCTCCTCCCGCCACAGACAGTCCCTGACCTCATCACTGGATCTGCGGATGGGGAGCACCACAGTGATCCATATGGAGGAAGATGACACTCACCACATAGAGGATGTTGAGCGCGCACAGCGCGTGTTTGGAGCAGGTGAATCCGGCACAGCCCATCCTGCTCAGGGGAGACAGTCAGCCCGATAGACGGTGAACGGTGTCGGCTCCAGACAAACACAACCTCCCGCTGGAAGAGACGGTCGCTCCGCGGCAGGTCGAACCTGGACTGAGCCGAGCTCCGAGCGTCAAGTACACGTAGTCACACAGCGGTGCGGCGGAAGTTAGGCATCCTTCAAAATTAAAGCATGTCATTTGTCACTTCCGCAGTGCAGTCTATGATACGTTGACTTACAGTAGGACACCGCTGAGCACACTCCATCATGACCTCAGTATGTATATATATATATATATGTGTGTGTGTGTGTAATATTTAAATATTTAGATAAACAAATATATAAATAAAGGAGTTAGTATGGTATAGTATAGTACCAAGGAATGGAAATAAAACTGTAAGACTTTAGTTTACCAGTTTCTAATTTATGTTTACTTAGATTTGACTGCAATATAAACAAACAAACAAACAAACAAATAAATAAATAAATAAACAAAAGAGTTAGTATTATCCACCAGGGAAGGGAAATAAAACTGTAACACTTTAATATTTATTTTCCCCATTTAAATAAAACCTAAATATTTCATAATCATATTAACATTTGCTTTAATGCTCAGGGTAAAACATGTGGTGACATGGTGACTCATGCTGGTGTGTTCAGGTGAAATGCAGGTAGAGTCAGCTGGTTACTCCTCTGGGTGACATAAACCTCAGCATCTGGTTTCTTGACGTCTTCCACGGAATCACGTCTGCGCATCATCATCATTATCATCATCATCATCATCATCATCATCATCATCATCATCATCATCACTTCTGTTAGAGATACAGTTCATTCTGCTCAGCTGATTATAGATTTGATATGTATTGTAATGTGTGTGTGAGGAATATCTGGTTAAATCTACATATATATAAATATATATAAATATTCTTATTAAACCAACACAGCAACTCATATTGAGCTTCCTCTTTTTGTGTAAGGAGATACTTCGGTTTGTTGCTTTAACAAGAAGAAAATATCTTGGTATTAAAATGTCACTGTAACAACAGGAAGAATTCATTATAAAGATAAAATATTGTGACAAAGTGACGTGGAGCAGATTCTTTTCGTCGTGTTAGCTGTAATTATATTAACCAGTGATTAAATACTAAATACTTTCATCGACGATATGAAATGTTATGAATTCACGTCGCCTGGAAACCCCATGCTTTTATTTTGAAGACAACGTCCGGTTTTAGTGTGGTCATCTACTTTAACTTGCCGCCTGTTTGGCGTATGACTCAGTGAGGGACGGGCTTCGGGGCTCCCGGCCTGCTGATTGGCTACAGAAACGTCATGTTATCTCCCCCGAAAATCTTCCAGAAAGAATCCGGATCAGCTGGTCTACCTGAGCAGGACCGGTCCGGTCTACCTGAGCAGGACCGGTCCGGTCCAGCTGGAGACGCTGTTTGTCTGTTGATCCTGTCTCACGTTACACTTCATTCATGATTCATCAGACACCCTGTTGACCTGAAGAGAGCGCAGTCCTCTCTGGGTCACACCTGCCCTCAGCAGACATGAATCACCCTCAGCTTCTCGTTTCCATGGTAACAATCAGTGACACCTGCGCTGATAAGTAGCGCCCCAACAAGAAACAGGAAAACATGGCTCATAATCATAAACATCGTTGTGGAGAAAGAGAGAGAGAGAGAGAGAGAGAGAGACAGAGAGAGAGAGGAGAAAGAATTTTTGTTCCAAATCATTTTTATTTTTATTGTTTCACTCTTCACTCACTCTTACAACTATTGAATTCTAACTCAACACAAACATTTTGTGTTGAGGGTGAACGGAACTCAGCGGTTGGACTTGGTTCTTCGGTCGGCCATTTTTTAAAATTCCTGACAGTCAGAGCCGGCGCCATATTGGTTTTAGGCTGTCCGTCCCTTTGTCACATTCTCAGGGACAAGGTATCTCAGAAACACCTTGACGGAACAAATTTGGCCCAAACATTCACTTGGACTAAAGGATGAACTGATTAGATTTTGGTGGCTAAAGGTCAAAGGTCAAGGTATCAACGCAATATCTTCATAACGTGTTGAGGGAATTTCTTCAGATCTGGTAATATCGTTCACCTAGACTCAAGGACAAACTGATTCGATTTTGGGGGTCAAAGGTCAAGGTCACAGGGACCTCATAAAACATGATTTTGGCCTTTTGAACACAATATCTCCAGAACCCCTCAAGGGAATCCCTTCAAATTTTGCATAAATGTTCACTTAGACTCAAGGATGAACTGATTAGACTTTGGGGGTCAAATGTCAAAGGCTTTTTAGCCATTACTCAAAACTTCATTTCACCCAAATGGTTCATATTTTATGACTGGATAAACAGGGATGTAACCTGTAAACTAGTCTGAATGGCAGATGAATTCTACCCAGAATTCATTGTACCACAGTCCAGCTTAAGATAGTCAAGAACTAAAATTCGGATGAACTTCAAGTCTTTCTGAAGTCTGACAGTCAGTCTGTGATAAAGGGCTCTGCCATGAGGTGCTGCTGACACGATGATAGTAAATGCTAGTGTGGCAGGTTACAGGTGCTGTGCTTTATCTGATGCTCTGCAGCACAAACCCTCCTCATGTATCAAATATCACATCTTATATCGTACATGTGAGCTACTGCATCAGAAAATAGATTTCGTTTGTTTTCGTTATAGTTTTATGATGTGTTGTGTTGAAAGTCAAACAGAGAAGCTTGATCAACATCATTTCCTCGAGTTAGCATGGTTAGCCTAGCTTAATTTATCATATCAGTGGTACCCAACCTGTGGGCTGGTGCCCACTGGTGCGCCATGAACTGTACTGCACTGTACTTCATATTTTATATTTTCTCTGACTCTGGATAAACAGGGATGTGACCTGGAACTAGTCTGAGTGGCGGAGGGATACGACCACGAGGAGGTGACTCTAGTTATTTTAAATATAGATCACCTCCTCGTCCTTGTTTCCTCCACCAACCAGACTGCAAGGTACTGCAAGTGGGCCGATAAATAAGTTGCTAAACAATACCAAAAATTTTGTTACGAGGTGGGATGTGAGCCGCCAACATCTTAAAGATTTTCAGGAGGGTCATAAGTTGGAAAAGGTTGAGAACCAGTGTGTTATATTATTATTCAGGGTAAGTCTGTATTATCCTCTCTTATTTTTGCATTATTCCTGTTTTTGATTTTATGGTTAAAGATCACAAATGTGAACCAGTAACCACAGCAACAGTGAGCGGTGAAGAGATCCGTCAGATGGTCAGTGACTGCGTTTACAAAGAGGAAAACACATGTACATATAAAACCAGTTTATTCATAAAAAGATGAGTTAAATACACAAGTGTTTTTATAAAACTCACTTGAGTGTGCACTAAAACACGTGTACATCTACTGCGGAGGTCACGCTCCCATTGCTGGACACTGTCACAGACGGTGAGCGTGCTGAGACTTCCTGGTTGTACGGCGGTGTTCGGCTGCTTCAGGAGGAGCGGGTCTGTGGTCGTTGTGGGTGGAGGTGCTCCACCTCAGCTCAGGTGGAGGATACACTACATGTTACCTATCTGCTGCACAGTCAGGACTCAGACTACAGGAAGTCCTCCTTCAGCCCTCCTCCCCCTCTGACTCCGACTCTGTGGACAAGAGGCGAGTGAGCTGACAGCTCCACCTGCTGGTTACACTGACAGTTACAGTGTATGTGTTATAAAAGCTCATAAATGATTTACAAAGTGTTAACAAGCTAATTAATAAACTAGTTAAAACCACCCATAAATCCTTTACAAGGGGAGTCGGATTATAAAGTGGAACCGAGTTTCTTTTTAAACCCCCTTCGTGAAAAAAGAAATATTTTTGCAGTAATTATGAAGTTATGATAAAGAGGCTCCTGACAGGAAATAAAGGAACTCGTGGTTATTACCTTCTTCAGCGTTCTGGAGCCACTCCACAAACTTCTTCATCTGCTCTAAGAAGACACTCTTCCCTTTCGCAGCGTGGGCGTCTTTGTACCACTTCAGGATGGCCTCCTCACTCAGGACGTCAGCTGAGATCAGAGAGAGAAGCGTCAGCACCGAGAGACGCCACAGACAACACATCTGGACAGAAACAGCTGCAGCAGAGATGAGGGTGTGTGAGGCGCTGACCTTTGTAGAAGAGCACCACTATCTTAGAGAAGGACTTCATGAAGTGGATGTTGTCGTAGCAGTACTCCTGGATCTTCAGCAGCAGCACCAGCTCAGACTGACCCTGAGTGCTGAACACTGCCAGCAGAGGAGCGTAGTGCTAAAGAGAGAGAGCACACACCTGACCCTGAACACCTGCAGACCACCTGTGGGAAGCCCACAGCTGTGCAGTCTGTGCAGCAGGTTATTATGACATCATAGTGAGGCTTTGTTGCTAGGCGACATCTAGTGGTTGTGGTAATGATGACAGGAGCAAAGGGAAACGTGCAGTGACGTAGGACAAAGAGAGACAGAGTCCACGACAGGAGGAGGCGGTGGATGAATATAACTGTTGAATGTTGTAACCATGACAACGAAGATCGTCTGATGTTGAGAAAGTTATTTTAACCCCTTGAGGTCGATGGATGTTTCTATTAATATCTTTGTGATGAGACAGTGTAGAAATATGGTTTAAATGTTAGAGTCTGTCGATCATACGAGACTCGCAGCTTCCAACATCTGGTTAAATAGAGTGACTGACGACACTACCACAACATCTCATCTAGGCATTTATTATCTATTTATCTACTATTTTACTCATAAACTGCACTATTATTATCATCCTAAGACAAGAGATTTGGAGAATTTCAAAAACCAGGCTTCAATTTTTCTGCATTTAGGCCGAATGATGTGTTTGCTGTACGACAGACAGGAGCTGAGACTGTTCTGAAAACTGTGATATTATCACTTGAGTATTATTTTATAAGTACGTTTCCTTTAAAAGGTGAATTTAAGAAATAATGTAGAAATCGAGAAAATGACCTTTGACCTCAGAGGGTTAACCCAAATCCCCTTCTTTTCCTAAACCCAACCAAGCCATGACCGCTATCATAGTAACCACGGTGACGGTTGGTACGCCGCCGTGACAACCGAGGTCCGGTACGCATGGCGAGGGGAGGAGACGCTCCTCTGGGTCGTATCAGAGGGTTTAAGAAAACGACCTGTGAGGTCGTTCAGGTCGGAGGACGCGGTTGATATCGAACAGTGACTCAGACACGACGTGTTCTACCTGTTTCCTGTTCATTGTGAAGCCGGAGCACGAATGTAGCACGACGAGCCAATCACTCGACGGGTTCTATTCCTGAATGTACGTGGCGATGACGGACACCGTGTTGACCTGTGCAGTGGTGCGGTCAGCTGTGTGTGACCTACTTTGAGGTGTTTGAGCGCCTGCTCCGTCACCAGCTCCTCCTTCTTGTTCCACTCCACAGCGTTCATCAGGCACGTCCACAACAAGCCGATCACTGCCTGCTCCTGCAGCTCGTTCCTCTTCATCTCCTCCTTCACGTACACCACCATCTGAACACACACACACACACACATAGTATGGCCTGGCACACTGTCTGTGACACTGATAGCACTGACGGTGCTGTCTTTACCTCTCTGATGGGACACTGCTGGGACAGGCGTTCCTGCAGCTCCCTCTGCAGCTCTTTGCGGGTCCCCAGACTCTGCTGCACATGCAGGAAGTCAGACAGCTCCTTGAGCCCGGCTTCATTGAAGTATTTAGAGAAATGCTCCACGTTCTGTTTACTGGCTGGAAACAGCTCCTGCAGTGATCAACAAAATAAGAGCCACCGCTTTAGAAATGATAAGACGTCACAGCTCCTCCTCTCAGCCTGCTGGGTCACACACAGTGTCAGTGTCAGTGTCAGTGTCAGTGTGACCTCACAAAACATTTTTTAGCCATAACTCAAGGCTTCACAGCAGTTATGACAAAATTTCACACCAATGGTTCATATTTTATATTTTCTGTGACTCTGGATAAACAGGATGTGACCTGGAACTAGTCTGAGTGGCGGAGGGATACGACCTGGAGGAGGTGGTTCTAGTTATTCTAAATATAGATCACCTCCTCGTCGTTGTTTCCTCCACCAACCAGACAAGTTCCAGGAAACACGGTCACAGTCTCCTTCCTGAGTTACACTGGTGAATAATGACCAGAGGTGTTTTTACAGAACATTATGATGTCACAGTGAAGTTGACCTTTTGACATTTCGGGTATGAAATGTCATCACTTCATTTCATCCTTATGTTAAATGGTGTCCTTTAGAAACTGCAGGAACATACTGCTGGTTGAAGTGGCTGTTGAGTTTTTCTCACCAGGAGTCTTTTATCCAGGTTGGCCTTCCTCAGGGACGAGGTGACTGAATTGGCATCTTTCTCTGCGATCCATGCTTTGAACATCCTCACAGCAAACAGCGCAGAGATCCCTGACAGGAGACGCACAAAACAAAAAAGTTCATTAAAAAAAAAAGTTATTTTCTTTATCATTTAACAGAAACATTTCCTCGTGTTACAGAAAAAGTTGTGTGTGATGGGAGAGTCAGATCAGAGGCCGCTAGATGTCAGCTGACAACAACGCGCAATAAAAACATAATAATAATAATGAGCTTCTGCACAGACGACCTCTGGGCTCGTTTCCTACAGGACAGTTCTACAGTGACACTCCCCCCCCCCCGTACCTTCTTTGACCACGCTCTCGGTGAAGAGGCCGGTGATGATGGGAGGCGGGAGCGTGCTGTTGGCCAGCAGGATGCCGGTCAGCATGGCGAGCTTGGTCTGCTCCGACTCGCTGAAGGCCTTCAGGAAGAGCAGCAGCTACAACAACAGACACGCTGTGAACCTGATTTTGCAGCAGCTTTTCTTAAAAGTTGAAACGTTTTTACATGTTTTTTTCACAATGAAACTGCAGGAGAAAATAAATTTATCTAAACGTATAAAAATATAAATATCTTATAGGGAAAAGAACAAGAGATCTTTAGAATCACCTCATCAATTTATAACGTACCCCCCCCCCCCGACGATTTCTGCCTATGAAACAGTTTCATCAGAGTGAAGGATGAATGAAAGGATGTTTTCTGTCTTTTCATCTTCACAAATTAACCGTTTAATCACTGAGCCGCTCGGAGGCCGCAGCAGCTGCCGCCATCTTTCAGGTGGAATGTTTTCTTGCATGTTACTCGATGCATGTTATCAGCTCTAGATGACAGACTCTTTATTGATGATCGGCTCTTCAGCTTCTTGAAATGTAGATAAACATCAACGTGATCATGTGACTGTAGATGTTTTATTTCACCTGGAGAACAGAAGCAGTGGAGCGTCGTTCAGGAGGCTCCAGCTCTACACCTGTGGTTCCTCCACGATGTTCCAGTACAGGACTATTGAACCCTTTAATGTAAGACACGTCGAACGTCTTCACACGTCTTTAACAGTGATGTTTGTTGGTGAATGTGAGACGTTCATGTCACACACGTCTGTCGGTGACATCATCACGGGTTCCTTCAGACTTGTCTGATTGGTTCAACTCACAGGAAACTTTGTGTACATGTTGCAGTGATTGGTCTGAGGTTTCAAGGGACTGGATGAATTTGTGTTAATTATTGCGACTTCCTGGAGGGACGCTTTTGATTGATCTTATAGACTCAGTAATAGCACTGTATGCTAATGTACATATTAAATTAAATAAAATGAAACAGTTCAACGGAGTCAAGACTTTAAAAACGCTGCCGCTGAGGAAAAGAAGTTCTGTCCTTTGATTTTTTCAGTCAGGTGTTTAGCTCAGAGGTTTCCAACAGAACGAACATGTTCAGATGTTATTATGACTCTCGTTAAAAGCTGTAAACGATTCACTTTCATTAGTAGTATTTTTATAATAATAGTGGACTTTATAGAGAACACAGATGCAAACATGTCACCACTACATATCATGAAGGCTTCACCTTTTTGATTTCCTCCTCAAAGGCCTTCTCCAGATATTTGTATCGTCTGATGAGCTTATTGAAAACCTGCCGTCACAAAACACACAGTTGCATAATTAGCCGAGTAACAAGCAACATGTTTATATAATGAGCAGAGCCCCTCCCTCCCTCCTGTTGCACAGTCAGTGCGGATGGGGGCGCAGGTGTACCTGAGCATACAGACGTAGAGCGGCGTGGCTTTCCTCCGTGGTGAACACGCAGAACGCCGTTACCTTGGTCTTGTCGCCCTCATCGATGCGAGTTCCTCCAGGAGCTGTGGAAGAGGACGTGTTACTGAGAACATGAGCTGTCCTGTGATGTGACGGACACCTGGCTGATACAAGGTTTTCAGGTTTAGGTCGCTTCAAGCTAACAACGTGTACAGGTGTTCCTAATAATGTGCTCGCTGAGTGTATTAAAAATAATTTGGTGGGAGTGTAAATGACCCCAGTGCATGATGGGATTTGTTTCTAAAATGTGTAAAGTTTGTATTTGTGTATTTTGTTTCATGGCCTTTATTTTGCTATTTCCTGTGAACACAGAAGTGTCTTATTTTGAAAAGAGCTTACACACAGAGCTCACAGAGATAAATAATCAATGAGGTTGATTTTCTCTGTCAGTTTCTGATACGTGTTCAGGTCCGTGTCACAGCAGGTTCAGTAAGGAAGCCCAGACGCCCCCCAGCTCCTCCTCCGGTGGGATCGTCTCCCGTCCACCCCGAGGTCTCGTCTCCCGTCCACCCCGAGGTCTCGTCTCTCTCGGTGTGAAGGCTTCAGAAACACCTCAGCTGTTTCCTTTAGATGCTGAAGAGAGAGTCTGGACCCCCTGCTAAGGAAACGGCTTTCTGTCACTTCCCGCCACCACCAAACACTCTCGTCCAAAAGTGAGGGTTGTAAATCAGAAGCTTAGCATTGAGCCCCCCCCCCACGTTACTGCTAGGACCACTTCAGTCTGCCTCTTCAAGGTGCTTTTCATCTCAACCTGACCCACAGGTAAATGACCAAACTACCACCATGTGGAGCCAGTTCTGCTTCCAAGACCTGGAAACACTGAAGGAGTGAAGGTGGCCTCACCAATAACATGGATGCCCCTCACACTGATCACTGATCAGCCGTCACTACTGCACATAAAGAGGCTGGATAATCAACTAACTGCTGTTTATTATTAACTCTGAGTTTAGAGAGTAAAACCTTTAACTGTAATTGGTTTACCAGAGAGTGAGCTGCAGAGCACAGATTACAGGACAGGATGTGTGTGTGTGTGTGTGTGTGTGTGTCTCATACTACAGACAGATTAAGATCAGTCTAAGGTTACACAGGTTCCATGAATGGAGACGGACTGTCTTTCATTAATCTTGTAGGTAACTGATTTCTACCAACATGGAGGGAGGTTCTGACGTATGTGACCACAGGTCTGAGAGCTGCACCTGATCTCTGCTGCTCAGGGAATGAAACAGAACTCTTCACACAGACGAGAAGTGATTTGTGTTTCTATACATCTCCATGGAAGTGTTCAAAGATTAGAGTTGATGTATTTGTACTTTGTGTAGCAGACGGCCAATTCACAGATTTTTCAAGAAGAAGAAGAAGACGACCGAGCTGAAGGCTTGAGTTCTCCGGTGCTTAGTGAGGAGATCTGTTTGATCAGAGGGAATTACTGTGTTAATCTGACAGAGCCAGCAGTGATCCCTCTGTCCTTGTCTGTGTGAACAATGCAGCCCTGGACTGAACCGGTGTAGAGCTCCGTGAGGACGACAACACTGACCGCTGTCTAGTCCTGGAAGAAGAGTCCTGAGGGTCAGGACAAAGCACCAACATATTCCAGTATTTGCAACCAGTCCTCCGACCTGAACAACCCTCTAATACAAGCTGCAACCTCCAGACTGAAACATGAAGCATCAGCAGTGAAGAACCAGAAGCTGCAGTTCCTCTAACGACCACTAGAGTCTGGCTCCAACAGTGAGTCAGTCCCCATAGACTCCCATGTTAAAATGTCCAACTTTACAGCAGAAATAAACATGTTTACAGCCTGGTACAAAAACTGTTTTGGTCTCTAGAGCTGATTTCCTCCTTCATGACACCTGTTTAGATAACTCACCTGTCTAGATAACTCACCTGTTTATAAAACTCACCTGTTTATGTTTTATTAAGGACTACAGTTATGGAGGATTACATAGGTATGCATCAAAGCCTCGTGCCCCTCCTCTTTGCCCAATTTTGGATTAGCTGGGAGTTAGGGGGCGGAGTCAGACACTGCCAAGATGGCAACGGTGGAGCAGCTCACTCTGAGCTTCAGAAACCTGTGGGTGATGTCACAGAGGCGACTCATAGGAGTGTCTCCTGAAATAGCGCCCCTACAGCAACAGGCCTGCTGGAACTCGGTTGTCATGGTTACAATAATAAACATGCAGACTGTAAGGAGAGTGGTTACTATAATCACAGAACTTACTATAATAACGGTCATGGCCTGGTTAGGTTTAGGAAAAGATTGTGATTTGGGTTAAAATAAATACTTCCTCAACATCAGAGAATCTTTGTTGTCATGGTTACAATAATAACTGTGGTTAACTTCGTCGTGCGGTCATGGTTAATAGAAACAACATTAAACAGCTACTTTCACGTGGGAATCGAACATTGCTCTCCTGAGTCACAGTCCACCTCCTCCTGACATGGACTTTCTTCACTCCTGTCATCATTACTACGACCACTAGATGTCACCTAGCAACAAAACCTAACTATGATGTCATAATAACCTATTGCTCAGACGACCTGTGGACTCGTTTCTTAAAGGAGGAGTCTCCTACAGTAACGATGCTATATGCTGTAATGCAAATCAATACTAATCATATATATATATATATATATATATATATATATATATAAATATCACAGTGTAATTACATGTTGTCATCTACAGAAAGATTCACACAGGTCACAGGTGATGACCTCAGCCCGTCTGGACTCACCGAGCATGCTCCCTGCGATGAGGATGTCGAACAGTGTGTCGGCATAGCGTCTGTAGTCCAGCCGCGACCCTGTGGTGTCCAGAAACTTGGCTACAGCCTCCAGGTCGCCGCCCGCATCATTAAGGCCCGCAACGATCGTGTCTCGAAAAACTGTCGGCTCGAACTTCTCCTTTTCATCTAGGACAGAGGGTCACATGATCAGGGCAGAAGGGTGAGAAGTGCCAACCCACGTCTTTGTACTTTCTAATGTATTTACACTTTGCTGCTCACAGGTGACTGAAGTCACAGTGGTTTAGATTCAGTTTCCCACCTCCAGAGCAGCCACTGGTTTCCATTCACCTCCTTACCAACAGTGTGGGTCAGACGTGCTGCTCCACTTCCCCATCAAGTGTTTCCAAGCAGCCACACAGGAAGGTGGAGACACAGTGGAGTGGGAAGTATTCTTCGCTCATCGTGTGTTTTAATTACTCATGAGTGTTTATGTCATATTTTACTCCTTTATTTGTCTCATAGGTAAATAAAAGGATTTTAAATTGATCCTAAAAACAAAGTTGGAGCTGGTCCACATGGGAGTAATGTGAGTGGATCATGTGCTGCACATGATGTGACCCAAAGGTAAAATATAAATAGAAACCAATAAAGACCTGAGGCTGGACCCGCCCTGCACCAGACCAACATCTGAGAGCAGCACCAGAAATAGCACACCTCACTCACTCCACGTCCGCAGCGTTCCCACAGGAATAATATATATAATAAATATAATCTTTACAGATTATATATGTACATATTATACGGATGTTTATATGTTTATACATGTTTATCTTCACAGGAAAAAAACAACAACTTATTTCATCATTTCAACACATTCTTCACAGGGACTGTAGTTTTACTGTTGACCACATCAGTAACCGACACTGACTGTTGAGCATCAGAAACAAGATGAAGGCAGCAGAACTCTGAGCTCCCTGCAGACCAGATGTTATCAGGAGGAAGTGAGATAACATGTTTTCTTTTAATTTGTGAGGTGATGCTGTAAATCACATTTTTATAAATACATTTTAATTATGTTTTACTCGTTTTTTTGCCTCCGCTCCGGCGACACTCAGAGGCGTCTGTCCCGTTCTCGTGGACACGATATCTCAGCAGAGCTTCACTCAGACTCAAGGATGAACTGATCAGATTTTAGTGGCTAAAGGTCAAAGGTCGAGGTCACAATGACCTCACAAAACACTTTTTAGCCATAACTCAAGACTTCAAAGCTGCTTCCTTACTGTGTGTACTGTGTGTACTGTGTGTACTGTGTGTACTGTGTGTACTGTGTGTGCTGTACTACACCGCCCTGGCCAGCATGACGATCAGAGTATATTTAGATCTTTGTCTGCTGATTCTTTCCTGTAACCCAGAGCTGAAAGCGAGCAGAGAGCTAAGCTGCTCAACTTAATCCACTCAGGATTTTTCACCCACAACATTGATTTAATCAGATGATTATTCATTCTATCATGTTATCAGTTTCAGACTATATTTTACTTTAGGAAAAGTTCCTGTCTATCTGCTCACACACTTTAAAAACTGTGGCTGCTCCGTTCACTGACAAGATGCTTCTGCAGGAAGTTAAATCGCTTTTATCAGTTCTGAAACTTCAGGGTCAAACGATACCCGGCCTTCGCAGAGAGAGTCAGATGGTCCGAGTCTCTGTGCCAACTTCCTGCGAGGAGCTCTCTCTGCGTTTGAGTGTTAGCAGCTGGTCACATTAGCATGTAGCTGATAATGCTGATAACGAGTCAGTCAGAACAACGTCTGGAAATTTCCCCTCCGTGTTCAGCAGCTCAGTCTGACTCTGAAACAGTGGAACTCCCTCCAGATATTCACCAATGAGTCTGTGACATCAATGTCTACTGGGCTTTGTGTGTGTGTGTGTGTGTGTGTGTGTGTGTGTGTGTGTGTGTGTGTTCATTGGTGGATAAACTGATCATTTGAAATGTGCAGAGAAACACGAACAGCTCAGACTCCACACAAACCTAAACCCTCTGTCTGGTACTCACCCCTTTTCCTGGTCTTAAACCTCTGGCCTGTGAGCACTGGCTTCTGCTGCTTACCGGTATTCATACAAGTCCTGAAACACACAAACAGGCCGTCAGTGTGACGGTTCTTCACTCTGCCTCCAGTGACAGTGGATCTGAACCAGCTTCAGCTCTTGGATTGAGCCGTCGCTGCTCCTTGTTTCTGATTTGCAAACTAAAAAAAAAAGCAGCTGTTTTGTGTTTTTTCTTTTTAAATGTAGAGGTCAAAGGTCATGCAGTCGCTATAATGCAGCAGGTAACTGTGATAATCTTTCAAATGTGGATGCAAGGATCAAAATGGGTATGTTTATCCCTCTGAGGCCGTTCATTTGAAAAATCCCATTAGCCACTTGAAATTTCAAAAGGCCGCCATATTCCAAGATGGCCGCCATTTCCATCCCATTGGACAGATTTCAATGATTCTGCAACTGAATCCTGTTTCTGACCCTGCAGATGTCAAATTCACAATTCTTATTGTCCATTAAATATTATTTTAAATAACTGAAATTATTTTTATGCTGATGAGGTTCCTGGCCTGTCGCTCGCTATGATTGGTCTAATTCAGTAGGGCTTTTAATTTGTAAAATGTAGGTAAACTGTTAAAATTTTCACCGGTTTAATTTCTTCCAGTGAACTACATTTCATTTTTAAATGTTTGATTTGACACGTGGATCATTCAGATCAGAAACATGTGGGGGAATTTTTTTCAAAAAAAAAAAAAGACATTTTCTTGCCTGAAATGTCATCCATCTTGGAAATGGTGGCCATCTTGAATTTTTGAGTGGCTAATCCAAAGAGTAAAACCCAAGGAGGATTTGTACCGAGTTGAGTATTGTCTCCACATTTGGAGGATTTCTCCTGAAATATGCAGCTGCCTGCTGAGCTCCTGGTTCAACCTCTAACTTCAGTTCTGACGCTGACGTGCATCACCTGCTGTCGGCTACACTGACCTGAGAGGTGAACAGAAAATAAATAGGAGCAAACTTTGATTTGAGGTGCAGTTTTAGCAGAATTAGCATCAACTGAATTCAGCAGTGGTGAATGAGGCAGGAGTCAGAGCAGATCTAATCCAGCGGAGTCCCGTCACGTCCAGCCGAGAGACTCACCTCCTACAGCTTCTACGTCACTGCTGAAATGATTGTGGCCTGCACTCTTTAAAATTTTGATTTCAATATGTTAAAGATGAATCAACAACAGGAATGATGGACATGTATATAAAATGAATAAAACTCAAGCAGGAGCACGACAGAGAGCAGCTCTTAGCCAATAGCTGCTTGGATCCTTATTAACGTTGCTTAATTATCTTTTTCAATATCCAAAGTTCATCCTGGTGAAAAACCTGCGTCCGCCTCAGCGGCTCTTCCTCCGAGGACGATGGTTAGAATAAGTTGGAAACTGCTTACCAGCGGTGAGGTCCTCGTGCTGCCTGAGTGAGTTGGGCTGTGTTGACTGTCTGAGTGTCGGTCTGCCTGTTAACCTTGTGCTCTGCTCTATATATAGTCAGCTCATCCCTGCAGTGTAAACCTGCCTCTGACTCTTAGGCACAGGACACGTGTCATATTACTCAGAGTGTGTCGAACTCATTCTCTCCCGCTCCGTCATTCAGTGACACAAACATACTACAGAAACACATGGTGTGTGAGTGTGTGAGTGTCTGTTATTTCTAAAGACACATGTTGATGGCTGCGTGTTTCCAGAGAAGCAGCAGAGCCTGAGAGCCGGGTTCAGGCTGCAGAGCCACCGACTGGGTCAGGGATTACTGCACTTTCTAATCCACAGCATCAATCCCTGTTGTCTGGAGCTCGGTCGGCTCAGGAGCTGACAGTGTGTCGCTTCACTGCCACCGCACACTCACAACATGCGAACATGTTAGGAGGAGCAGAGCCGGGCCGACCACCTGAGCGCATCAACCTGCATTTCCTCTCATGGCCACCAGGTGCTGGTTCCATAAAAACTCAGGTATTTTAAGATTTATTGACTCAGGGACGTTCTCACTGAGAGCAGCTCTCTCGCTCTCACCTCGTCCCCCTGGAATTACAATCCAGGATTATCCTCAAAATCCTAAAAATGTTTCTGTCCTCTCCGCCGGACAAGTTCCCGCCTTTGTCAACGGGACAGAAACTGTAGATTCAACAGCTGGAAGTCACACCAGCTTTCAGAGACAGTAACCTGCCGCTGCCACAAGAGGGCAGGAAGTTACATGATGAATCCTTTACAGGACAGAACGCTGCTCTGAGATCAGATGTAAGGAGGGATATCACTTCCACATCAGTATTGATCTAATTGATGATTATTTTTAGCTTTAACTGCTCAAACGCTGCCGGCCTTTCTTCACCACTGCTTCTAATGATCCGACACTCTCACACAATCAAACACTGTTTTCTTTTCCCATGGATCATCTGACGACCTCTCAGATTTCTCTGGTGACCCTTTGGAGGGGTCGGACCCCTAGTTTGGGAACCACTGGACTGAGTGTATTTGACGTAGTTAAAACCAGCTCCACCTGCAGCAGCTACAACAGTAAAATGTATCAGCATTATTATAATAAATCATATGCTTGTACTTTTACTTTACTTTTACTTTAAGCACATTTTGTTTGCAGTACTTCTGTACTTTTTACTGGAGCAATTTTAGATTGCAGTATTTGTACTTTACTTTGTGTGTGAACCAACAATTACTGATCCTGACAACCTAAACATGAGAGGAGTGACTTTAGACTCCTACACAGGACCATAGAAATCACTGTGAGACATGTGTGGACAGATGTTAGCAGCTGCTAAGACTCAGGTGCGCAGGTGTGTGAGCAGTGGTCATACAGTCTCACCTGTGGGATGCAGTCGTCTGTGTATCTGATGGAGCACTGTTCTGTCTGAAGTGTGTTGAGCTTCAGGCTGCTGGACAGCCGGCGGGACAGACCCAACACTTCACTGCAGGGGATTCTGACCCCCGACTCAAACCTTGAACACAGCAGTCGGAGCGCCGGCAGAGCTGCACATCCACATCTCATATCTGAAAGTCACAAAGACTGAGTCAGGTGACATTCAGAGTGAGCGCTCGATTTACCTTCAGTGTTTTTACTCAGCACACAGCGGGCGTCTTCCCCTCCGTTCGGCGTAGTGGTACGTTCCAAGAATGGCCCAACTCTCCAAGGCGCCGGTTGTGTCTGGAGCTCTTCAGTCCACATGTAGACAGACTGTCAGCAGAGCAGAGCAGGTCAGGAACACACACACCACAGCTGATCACAGAGGATGGCTGCACCTCAGAGAGGAGATCTGTCGGCACCCGAGAGGAAGATCCTGCAAGTCATTGCTGCAGGTAAGAACTGCTCCGTTTCATTATTCTCTCTGATATCTTCACTTACTATAACTTTTATTAGTTTTATAGTTTTATTGGCCAAGTATTTGCACTTACAAGGAATCTGACTGCCTTTAGTTGCTCTCAGTGTCCAAGAGCAGAAATACAGCTAAAAACAAAGAGGAAGTGTGAAGGTGCAGAGTGAAGAGCGCTTTACACTGGGGGTTTTCAAAGTCTGAGACTGTGCCCCCCCCCCCCGCCGCCCTCAGACAAACCAAGAGAGCCTGTTACTGCTGTTTGGCATAACTTGAGACTAAACCAAATACACAGAAAAGTTTTATCAAAGTTTTATTTGTTCTGAATCTGGGAAAAACTGTCAAATCCCCCAAAACCTCTGTATCTCTGAACCAGCTCTTTAACCAAATCACAATGTTTAATGTAATAACTTCTGAAACTGTTTAACCCCCCCCCCAGTGAGGCCCTCCTCCCACTTTGAAAACACCATGCACCATGTAAATGTCGCTTCAGATCACTTTGCAGCACAAGAAACTGTCCAAACAAGATCAGTGTTTACCATGGTTTTAATGATATAACTGCCATTATTGCATATCTGAAATGATCAGCAATAAACAAGTGAGAGAGGGGAACACTGGGAGGCCACAGCAACATGGGCAAAATCCTGGTGATTGTATTTTATGGGTATGTATTCTGAATAATTAAAAAAAGGTCAGTTGACAGGACAGTATGATGTGTTAACCTGATGTTCCTCCAGCTAATGAACCTAGAGAGGTTTATATTCAGTGCACAGCAGGTCAGAGATATTTGTCCAAAGATATATGAAGAATAAAGTGTCCAATAATAAAAGGCTGATGAGTGAATGTTTATCTGGATTTTTCCTTCGTAGAAAATCTTGTTTGTTTGTTTCCCTTCATTTAACACCAGAACATTGTTTCCCAGAAAATCTGACTCAGAAATTGCAGACGCATAAAACAGAAGCTCTAGGTGCATGAATTGTGTGGATGTTTGTTTTATTATTGCTCCAGTGTGTCGGTGCAGTTTGATGCTAAGCTCACCGCTCTCAGTTCCTGTGTGACGGTGCTGCGTCTGGTTTGCAGGTGACGTACAGGAGGCTGCTCAGCTGCTCGCTAGCAAGGAAGTACGAGTCAACTGTTTGGACGAGGTAAGAGAACAGAAGGAACGTTTATAGCCAATACATTTTTTTCCACTGTTTCCGAGGTCAAGAATAAACTTTCAGGCTCAACTGATGCATTTCTGTTCAAATGAATATATCTGACCTGGGTATGTAAAGGAACAGTCCAACCAAACATTCACTACAGCTTATTTCTAACCATAACAACACAGGGTTTCTTCACCTTTCTTAACTGTGACCCTGTTTTACATCCTCAGATCTTCACTAACCAGTAACTGACTCTCACTTATATATCTGTATGTGAAATCAAGAACATGTTTTAAATATTATCCATCCTCCAGGACCTTTCTTGCTTATCAGGTGACCCTGTGTAGGACCTCAAACCCAAGAACTCTGCCATGAGCCTTAAAAAACTTAATTAATTAAAGGTATTCAACAGGTGGCTCGTTACAAAATGACAGTGCTGAAGATGACACCCACCCCACCCCACCCCACCCCCACCCAGCTCATAATGCAACAGTTATGTCACCTTAACATATGTTATCCATTGTGATGGAGACATATGGAGACGACTCTTGAGAGGCAGGCGCAGCCCTCGACACTGTTTGATAATAGCATCACGCCACTACATGTAGCTCACAGACTCCTTCACAGCGCCCGTCTGTCAGAATCAGGTGTGGTGACAGAGCCTCGCATCCCTGCCCACGCAGTCGCCTCCACCCGCAACACACGTAGCAAACATCTGCTCTGTGCGTGGAGTAACGCACACACAGGGAATTCATACATTTATAGTTAAATCCACAGTTTGCTCCTTTATCTGCATTAGAGGAACCCCTGCAGTAAAATAAAATAATTACATTCACCTTTTAAATAAATTCAGTAAAGAATCACAGGCAACAGTATTTATATCCTGGACCAGAGAAACCAGATTTATACCCTTATCTTCCAGGGTCAGTGGCGATTGTAGGGTGCGGTGAAGGCCTGTTCATCCTGATCATCCCCATCATTTAAAAATCAACGAAGAAATTTACAAAATTCCAAAAGCTCACATTAGTAGAAAGAAGGTTTGGTGCTTTTATCCCAGTACTGTAGATGACAATGATGATGATGATGATGATGATGATGATGATGATGAATCAAATTCATAACAGTAGCTCATGAAGCAAGAACCACACAACAACTTCTGTATTCAGGTTCTCACCAACAGAGTATTCAAGAGCAAAAACTGCCAGATCAGACCCACAGACAAACAACAACAGCCCATGCAGGTAAATCTGAGGGGTCATCAGATGACGCATCAGAGAGGAAAGAAGAAAAAATAAAGTTCTGGTTAATAAATCTGTTTTCCGTTTTTAGACTTGTTCTCTGATCTTTATATATTTATGATATTTAATCGTTTAGGTAAGAGGGGAAAATTACTACTTGGTGGACTGTTAACAACTCAGACATCTGAAATGTGACCCTAATATTTTAATATTGTTCAACTACCAAACCAGATAAAACTCCTGAATTCCTGTGTGAAAACAAACAAATATCAAAAAGGTAAAAGACTAACTGCACAAAAGACTATTAACATGATTAATAAACTCTATATTGATGTCAAAACTTATCTCTACAACAACTAATCACTGCTGGTGACTGAGCGCCAGTGTTTGCTAACATTAGATATTGGTAATGAAATGACCAGCTAACACTGGGACTGAATGGGCGCTCTCAGCTAGCTAACCTTAGTTAGATAACCTGTAACTCGAGGCTAAAGTTAGAAACAAGATGGCGCCAGCGTTCATCTGTAGATACTTCACACAATCTGATTCAGAAACTGTGCGGGTAAGACAGTAAAGTGTATTAAACCAACCGGACAGTTCGATACTGACACTTACATTTAAAGTCACTGTCGAACGGGCGGAGAGACGCAGCGTGAGCTACTGGCGCCACTAGCAAGACTTAACGGCGGTTAGGAAATGGTACGGTCCACTTTAGGGGTGTCTGAAATCGTACCACAAGATTCTTCCAGGCATGAATATGGGAAATACATTGTAATAGTTATAATTACAGGTAAGAAAAATATATAGATGTTGCTGGACTGTTGTTTTTACCTCCTTTTGGGAGGGTCCATGTCTTAATCGGGGAGGTTAACCCCCCCACCGCCCCCTAATTAAAACCCTGTTTACTACTGAGCGATGTTGGCAACTGATTTTCTAACGATAGAAATGAATGATAGAAAATACATGTATATTTACATACTTTTACATTTTGTCAGTGCAAAAATATCATCAATATAAAATTATGGATTTCTTAAGTCAGGCTTCATCATACACTTTATTTACTTCTCTTTATACTGGATGCTTCTGAAATGAATGAGGTGTAATAATCTTTAACCAACCTAAACTTCTAGTTTGTTTATTTTAAAGGATACAGTTACTTTGCAGATTAAGATTTTACATAAAACAAAAGGTCAATTTGTAAAATATGATGCTTTGTTATGGGTTAAACTAGCATCAGTGTAGTAGCTATATTTAATATCACCATGAGCAGCTACCAGGCTAACAATTAAATGCTCCTTGGTATAGGATGAATGCATCAGTAATAATAATCACATAGTATATACTAGGTGAGGAAGTAGGCGGAGTTGGTGCAGGAGGTGGAGCAGTATCAACCAGACATAGATGGGCCGGGTTCATATAAACTAACTCCTCATGTGATGCTGCCTGTCTCCTTTGATCTTTAAGTATGGCATGACTCCACTGATGCATGCAGCATATAAAGGCAAGGCAGATATGTGTCGTCTGCTGCTGCAGCATGGGGCCGATGTGAATTGCAACCAACATGAATATGGATACACTGCTCTCATGTTTGCCAGCCTGTCAGGTACAAGTGTGTGTGTTGTAAGGTTTTCTTGAAGTGCTTTTTATGAATTTAAATCTAAATTTATCTAGACTAAGATTTAAGTTTCAGTAATTCATTGTTGGTACAATGAAGTGTTGTACTTCTGAATATCAAACCACTGATTCCTACAGGGAAGACAGACATCACCTCCATGATGCTGGATGCAGGAGCAGAGACAGACCTGGTGAACTCTGTGGGTCGCACCGCTGCTCAGATGGCAGCGTTTGTAGGTGAGACAGGCAAAGACTGTACTGGTAGTGATCTAGTGACTGTGAGGTTGCTCACATCACAACCTCTACGTTCTCCTTCCAGGCCAGCACGACTGTGTAACAGTGATCAATAACTTCTTCTCACGGGCAAGGCTGGAGTACTACACCAGACCACAGGGGCTGGAGAGGGAGCCCAAGCTGCCTCAAAGGCTGGCGGGGCCGCTGCACAAGATCATCATGACCAGCAACCTCAACCCAGTCAAGGTGAGGCCCACTACTGAGCTGAAACATGCACACCTCATCACATGGTCACTGGCACATGATTTCAGAAGTATATTTCAGTTTTATTTTTTGGCTGGACCGCAACAGTGGGGCCAACACTATAATCAGGAATGTCCCTGACTGTCTGACTGACTGACTGACTGACTGATGATATTTCCACCACTGGTCAGTGGAGTGCTTCGTCACTGAGTTGGAGTTTCTGGATCAAACTGGTTCTATGAGGTGATGTTTACAGCTGCAGTGTTGACAACTTAGCTCATTGTCTCTAGACTTAGAGACTTTGTTTCAATCAGTCTGGGTGTAATCCTGGTTCAGGTCTGGACCGTGTTTGCGCACAGGCAGTCTACTGCAGGTGGTATATCAAAAATAACATATCTGCCTTAATCCAGTATATTCTTCTAGTCTACCTTTGTATTTTCTATTTTTCTATTTTCAGTTTTTATTCAGCAAGACCAATCAATCTGATAGAAATAAAGTTTGATTATTTGAATGTGGCATGTTTATGATTGGTCAAATCGACAAGGACAAAATAAAAAAAAAATTTCAAATTTGGGATGAAGCAGGAGGCTTTGGTGGGGCATTGCTTCCCCATGCCCATGCCTAGAGATCAACTGTAAGAGTAGTATGACGGTGATGTGCAGTGCTAAAGACTGATTACACACACAGGCTTGGACAGCCCAGTGCCCTCTGAGTTCCTTACAGGCCCATGTGACCTGTGCTGGCTCCGCTTCAGTCCACAGCTCTCACTGTGCCACTCTTCATCTAAATATATCGACTGGGAGTCAGTCAGATATATTAGGTGGCACTTGCATATTGAAATATTACAGAGGGTGTGCAGCAGGAAGCAGTGTGTGCACAACATGGTGTTAATATAAAATAGACAGTATTTCTGTGTATATGAAGATCACATAGAACGCAGTCAACAGCAGACTTCATGTAATGTTAGTGTCAGGATGCATTCCTAACTCCATATCATACAGATATTCATGGCCCCCTGATTATGAATCCTAATGGTTTTGCTGATGTTTTGCTGATGTTGGTTGGTTGGTCTACCACTTTGACCTATACTATCAATATCTCACGATTAGATGGGGTTGCCCCAACATTGTGTACAGACATTCATGCTCCCCAGAGGATAATTCCCACCAACCTCTTCTGGTGCCTCCCTGACTTTTCCTCTAGCGCCACCATGAGCTTGATACATTTGTATTTTGTGAAATTTCTCAACAGCCATTGGATGGATTGCCATAAAATTCGGTACAGATACAGTACGGTGCCCATGGTGCCCTGAGGATGAATTGTAACGATTTTTTATCTGGCATCATCATCACAACAAAATACTCATTTGTTCAATACTTCAGCATTTAGCTGAAGCTGCCGCTGTGTGTAGATACAGCCCCACAGAGCTGCTAGTACGCCTGTAGACTCTCCAGTCCTGTTTTAGGGGAGGTTGTTAGGTCCTCTGTTTGCACTTTTGCTGATAGTATATATCAGCAAAAGTACATATAGCAAAAGTATATATATATATATTTACATATATTCAACAGAGGATGAAGCTGTTTGCATTCTTTTATTTGACATCCACTGGGCTTCTTTCCAAAGAATGAGGGATTAGTGTCTGGTTGCTGTCACTGTCAGCCTCAGTGTAAGCAATGCAGTGTTAACAGTACACGATGCATAAGCTATGAATAACAGAATGAGATGGAATAACTGAGGGATATAGTGTATGTACTCCCTCCTTCCTGTCCCAATCATTGACCCCAGAACAGCTCTGCCCAGACATGTTTGTCTAACCAGCTCTCCAATCTGTCAGATAGTCATGCTGGTGAAGGAGAACCCTGTGCTGGTGGACGTGGAAGCTCTGGAGAAGTGTTACCAGGTGATGGACCTGCTGTGTGAGCAGTGTGTGAAGCAGCAAGACATGAACGAGGTGCTGGCCATGAAGATGCACTACATCAGCTGTGTGCTGCAGAAATGCCTGGCATTCCTGCAGAAACAAGACGACAAGCTAGATGCACTTGTCAAGAGGTGAGTCTGTCCTCATCTGAACACGGAGCTTCAGGAAGTGCTCGATCAATCTACACTCAATAACCCATATTGACAAAATGTTTCTAGATGTTTTTCTAAATTCATTAAAAATATAAAATAAGCAGTAGTCAGCTGCTTCCTGTTTACTTTAATTATCACTGATATGTGTCTAGACCTGGACTGGAGTCCATCTGTGGTGAACTGAATGTGAATCCAATCCAACTAGGTACAATATATAATATGACATCACTTTCTGTTGTCTTTGACCTGCTTTAATGCTGCTGGGCCCCAGCCTGCTGAGGGGGAGGGACAGTGATGGTTTCCCACAGTACCAGGAGAAGTTCATTCGGGACTGCATCAGGAAGTTTCCTTACTGTGAGGCCACACTGCTTCAGCAGCTGGTGAGGAGCATTGCACCGGTAGAGATTGTAAGTGAAGAAGAGAACTGAAGCGCAGTGAATAAAATATCATGTTTAGCTAAAGGCCTCAAGAATCAATGAGGAAAAGTAGAGTGGGGTTAGTAGTTGCTGGTGATATACAGTGGGGTGACTTAGGTTACAGGGTAATTATTTTCTCTTTAATCACTGTTGATATATCACTGTTAATGTGACTGATATAACTTTAATACATCGTGGCACCTTGTTTCCAGGGCAACAACCCGACAGCATTCTCCGTGCTGACCCAGGCGCTGACAGGTCAGATGACGTTTGTTGATGCCGACTATTGTGCTACATGTGGGGAGAAGGGAGCAGACAAAAGATGCTCCCTGTGTAAAGCAGTAAGTCGACGTCTGTAAGATAAGTCTGGTCATGAGGGATCTCCATGTTCTACCTGTGGCTCATGTTCTCTTTGTCTTCAAGGTGACTTACTGCAACCTGACCTGCCAGAAGCTCCACTGGTTCACCCACAAAAAGATGTGCAGGATTCTGCAGGAGCAGAATGCTGACCTGGAGAAGGACACTCCGAGGCTGAAAGAGTTGAAAGGTGCTCATCTTTTACCTGTCTTCTACAGTTTAGTACTGTACACCTGTGGGTCACAGAGTCTGCTCTGGGGAGCGAAGCTACCCCCCTTCCATCAACTCTGTGTATGTATCCCATTGCCTTGAAGTACCTGTCGTGGTACGTGGCAGACTGCAAGAGCCAGCCTCATTATGTTCATTATGTTGTGCTTAAAGGCTAATGCCAACAATTTTCCACTTCAGCATGTGTTTCCAGGTGTTCCAGGTGTTCCAGGTCAGCTTTTTCTATAATACCCACCTGGCAATACTACTACAAATTTACAAAATTTTTATGAAGGTGTTCTGAAGATAAATGCTTAAACTTTTGTCAGTATTCGCATGTCATACCTGATTAGTTCAGTTAGAGTCTCCAATATTCAATTATTAAGTTCATTTTTTCACGAGAACATAACTATAACTCATTAATCTATCAACATGCGTTTGTGACTTTGGTGTTTGGTGTTGTTACATAAAAGTATTCTGAGTTATGAATGTGGTAAGGAGAAGTCGATTGCAGACTATCGAGCGACTTCACAGCACTTCTCTCCACATTTCAAACATTCCCCTCCTTCCTGCTGCATCAGTGGCTGTGTCAGCGGGTATAATTGTTTTTGTTAACTTTCTGGCTACAAAATGTAGGTCTACCTGCAAAGATCCGTTAAGGTTTCACTTCAAGAGGCCTGGGTGAAGACAGCGAGTGCACCCGAGCGAAAGGCCGATGACGCGATTCTTTCAGTCTGCGAAAGCGCTGCTATTGGTTACTGTCTCTGTCAATCATTCTCTTATATGACTTCTTTAGGACAAAAATACAAAAAAAATGTAAGAACTGATGTAGTTTAGGTTGGGTTTTAGTCACATGCTCATTTTAGTATGCAAATGACATTCATGCATACGTTCCTTGTCGTCCTGTTTCATTGGATGTAATGCAGGTCAGCCGCAGGACAGTGAAGGCTGTAGCTAACAGCATATATCAGGCCACGTGTGCGCCCTCTAGTGTTAAATAAACATAATTACTATGTCGGCTCCCTGTTAGATGATGAGAGCGACCTGGTGCTGGAGACGGCCAACTTCCTGCAGGAGCTGTGTCTGCGGGCGGAGGAGAAGGTGGCTGCCGCTGGAGGCTGCCCTGCAGAGCTGCTCGCCTGTCCCTCCACTTCTACCGAGGGACCGTCCTGCACCCAAGACTGAGGCAGGACAACCAGCCGAGGACCCTGAACGACTCTGAGTCACCTGTTTTTGTGAATTTTCACAAAGGTTACACATGGAGAGGCGTGGCCGAGCAGACACCATGTCAGCAGGATACTTCCTGTTTCTATATTTCACATCAAGCCATGTAGTTTTAGATCAGCAAAAGCTGATCCTGGTAACTTTACACACTGGCAGCTGCTCAAAGTAAAATCTTAGTATTGCGATTTTCCAAATTAAGAATAAGAAGCTGATGCCAGAAAATATTCTGGTTAGTCTGATATGTGAATGATAGATTCTAGTTCTAGCTTTTCTGGGAGGAACAATCACTCAGTACTGTTGAAGAGACCATCGCTAAACGTGATCACAAAGAGTATTATTAAGGAGTTGACCTCCTACTTTCTCCACATTCTTTTAGTGTTTTAGCAGACACCTCAAAACATTGTGAATTCATTTGCATGTAGGTGAAAACAAAATATCAGTTGAGAACAGGTTTGTGTGCAGACAGAAGAGGAAGAGAAAATCCTCCTTCTTTGGCCCAGTCAGGTGCTGGAGAACTGGCTGTGACGGGCTGTGGTCAGGTAAAGCTAGAAGTGGGGCCCCTGTCCTAACTGTCCGTGAGCTGCAGCAGGAACTGCTCCGTGTGCGTCAGGCCAGGGACATTTGGTGGACATGGTCTCCATCTCTCTCCTCTCGTTTCCTGTGATCTCTTTGCTGTCACTAGTTAATAAAGACATAGATACATCCTGTCCTGTTTCAGCTACTTACTGACTCCACATTGATATCAGACGACTCTGAAAAATCCCAAATTACAACAACAACAACAACAACATTACCTAACTTAAGTTTTTCAAATTCTCACTTTAAACACATCTGCTCAGGTCTAATGTGTATGTCTAATGAACCACGCCTGTGGCTTTGGCAAGTAAACCACAGTTAATACTGTATGTGGCAACACAAACATCTGGCCACAGCTGGAAAAAGACTGGAGTTACTGTTAATAAAAAGGGCAAATGTTGGAGTAAACTCCAGATGTGCAACATGTCCATCAACCTCACTCTCAACTTAGTGCCTCACTAAATAAACACACACTACTTCCTGATTGACCCTGAATGTCTGCACTTGATATAATGTGTGAGGTGCTGAATCATCAATATGGACATAGACATAGTGTTTACACCTTGTCAGTCCAGGACAGTGATCAGTCAGTAAATAACAGTAAACCTAAATGTCCTTTGTGTTGTCTGTATTAACAATATCCTCATGGACTGGACACCACTTTGATTCCACATGCAAAATGTATAGGCTGTGTACATAGTGTGTTTATCCCTGCGTGTGGTCAGAAGGCCGAGCTGTGTGTAGTTCAGAGGCTGTTTGTCACAGGAAACACACACTTCACCTCTGTGTGGATCACAGCCTTGTACAAACACAGTCATGGACTACAAACTGAGAATGATTGTATTAATGAAAAATACTGAACTCGGCTGTAAAAACACAGTTCCATGATGTGAACTTCACTGTGTTCCTGGTGTGAACTCTATGTAGTGATGTGCATTTGATCTTCGACGTGTTTTTGTTGTGTTGTTATAGTAGCCACATCCGTCTACTTTCATCTGCTTTATCTACTAAATGAATAACGTTTGCTTACATCAGAGGGACTGGGTGAAGTTACTTTACCAGCTGTGATCACGTGCCGTCATATATCAGACTGTGGCTCCTCTGCCGCCAACAGGCCCAACAACAGACTGTCTGTGATAATACTGTAAAGACCTCAGTAACAGATGAATCACAGGTTTTACTTGCTAAATATCGTAAGAAGTAACTCCAGAGGGTTGTTTTCGTTTATTTTTGAACTGTCTGATTTATTTGGCACCATGATCAATGTAAATACCATTACATTTTTCATACATATTTTAAGTTTTCCTCTAACATTACTCCAGTTACACCAGCAGGTGGCGGCGTTTTCCTTCTCCTCTCCTTTCCCTCCTTCTTATGTTTTTCTGAATGGCTAAAACATTAAATCCCAAACACTCAGTGGCCTGAACACATTTAATGGATCAATCACTCTTTTGGAAACAAACATAAATAAGTTTCACCTGGTCAGACACAAGCTTCAGATCTCATTTCACCTTTTTACAAAACCCTAAACTCATTTTCACTGAAACAAATAGTTTTTATCAGTTGCTAACAAGAACTGGTCAAAACTGCAGCCTCAGAAACTCTTCATACAGTCGGCAGTCTGAATTACCAACACGCTTCTTGACCAGCTGTTAATCTCACCTACAAAACTCACTCCAACCAGCAAAACTCTTTGTCTCAGAACGAGCTCGTTCAACCACAACATCACACCCACCGTCACTCACACACTGACACATAAAACACCAGCAACAAGGAGCATCACATCAGTTATTATAGTTACATTACAGTTTGAGTTATTATACATGTAGATGACGTTTTTTTGTAGTTATTATTGCAGCCCTGGAATTTCAGGAATTAGTTTTTTATTTAAATTTTTCTTTTGCTCAAATAAATTACTATATTCAAAGATATTGAAGCACATTGCTGCATTTCTGATTCACTCTTGTTACATACAGTCAATAAAGTGAAACGGTGTTGTTCTTATTCTATAATGAAATACTGATTTATGTGAAAGATGATTAAAACTTCAAAGATGAAAGTTAATAACTGATGTGATGCTCCTTGTTGCTGGTGTTTTATGTGTCAGTGTGTGAGTGACGGTGGGTGTGATGTTGTGGTTGAACGAGCTCGTTCTGAGACAAAGAGTTTTGCTGGTTGGAGTGAGTTTTGTAGGTGAGATTAACAGCTGGTCAAGAAGCGTGTTGGTAATTCAGACTGCCGACTGTATGAAGAGTTTCTGAGGCTGCAGTTTTGACCAGTTCTTGTTAGCAACTGATAAAAACTATTTGTTTCAGTGAAAATGAGTTTAGGGTTTTGTAAAAAGGTGAAATGAGATCTGAAGCTTGTGTCTGACCAGGTGAAACTTATTTATGTTTGTTTCCGAAAGAGTGATTGATCCATTAAATGTGTTCAGGGTGTTTGGTTCAGAGAATGGGATTTAATGTTTTATCAGTACAGAATAACTGTAAAACTACGACTGAAGACAAACAAAGAGGTAACCAGGATGAAAAAGAGGCTTCTCCTCAGCCTCACTTTCTCACACACGGTGAACGTCCTTCGGCGATGCTTCGTTTTCTATGGAGCTCCGTCTTCCTGACGGCATTGTTCTCCGTTTCCCATGGGAGCTCGCTGACCCCTGTCACTGTGCTCATAGGCACAAGCAGCAAGCATGGCTGCTGTCACGCTGAGTGTAAGTAGAGTCACCCTCCTGTTTCTGCCCTATTATCCCCTCTCCCCTCATCTGCGTGTCACACTCACTCCGGACCGCTGTGAAGCATAAAAGCTTGATCTCAAATTTCCGGTTTCTGAGATGTAAAAATTAGCAAATGCTCCGTGGGATCAAATAACTTTGATAGTCTTCTTACAAGCCCCCGGGCTCATTTTTCCACGGCCTCCCCTCATCCATACCTCCAGCTCGATGATGTGATGTGACAAACACAGCTTTTTGGGGTAATTGGAGATCATTTGGAGGGACAAGGGAGGGAAAGGGGAAAAAAACACACTCCCCACCGCTGTGTAATAATAATGGCATGAACTGGACAGTTTGGGAGTGGATTTATTTTCAGTGGTATCAAAGGAGAGACAAGGAGAGTTGGAGTAAAGTCTTTGTCAGAGAGTCCTGGGAAAGGCGTGTAAGAGGACACCGCGGGTCTTAGGGGCAAAGTTTCGGCAGGATAAAGGTGGAGAGGAGGCTTTGTCTGGCTACTGTATGATTTGGATAATGGACATATACATACATCATGAAGGTGAGCTCATCCACGCAGCGCTGGCTGGATGGGGCTCAGTGAAAAACCTCGATCCAGAGCATGAAACTGTTTTTAAACTTAGTTCTTACAGTTGTTTCATAATGCATTTTCTGCAAGATGAAGGTGACACAACACGTGTCTGTGGCATGGAGAGCATGTTAACTGTAGATAGAAATATACTTTAAGTGTTTTTCATGCTGTGAGGTGACTTCTGCCCTGAAGCGTGTCTTCAGGTATTCCTCTCAGGATCTTAACCTCACCATTAATGCAGGTCAGGTTAGTGCGCAGCCGGAGAGTCAAACCCTGGGCCAAAAAGTCCAAAATCATCTGTACTGCACATTCAGATAAATACACTGAGTGACAGTTAAGACTGAAGGTTCAACGTTCCTCTTGTCTCCAGGACAGTGAGAGGAAAACATAAAAAACAAATGTACCTGAAACAATAGAATTGCTGTGAGCTGGAATGAGCTGGAAACACGAAACTTTGCTCAATAACCGGAAATGATGTTCATCAGCTTTCCAAGAAGTATGAACCCGATTGGCTGCACGGTGCCGCTGTAGTTAAGGCTCGAAAATGTAACTGACACCTGACCTGAAACTTCATGTTCCAAAAGCAGGGCCATAATGATTTATCAAAGGTTCTGTTCATCAATATCTGCCATCTTAAGCCTTTGCTCAACTTGCAGTGAGCTGGATGAGTCAGACACGAAAAAAATGAAAAATAAAGAACATGTATGAGCTGATGAATAAAGTGACTTGTTGTTACTTGACTAACTGAACATGAAGAAGTCTGTGCTCCCGTTTTAACAGGTGAGTGAAATTCTAGTATCATTTTATTTACGTTAGCACTAGCTAGCAGGTATGTGTCTGCACTCACCACACCTGGCTTGTTATCTTAGCTCATCAGCTAGCTAATTAGCCGGTAAATTAATTAGCCAAGGATTAACCCTCGAACAAGACGCCAAGCTGTGCTAACGATGCTAACAGGAGCGTAGTTTATGCCCGCCTCTTTGCTCACCCTGAGCTTCAGGCGCTGACGTCACAGAGGTTTCGTCCATCTTTATTTCCAGTGTGTTGTCCTGACTGTGGAATAATACTGTCTGTTATCTGAGTCCACGG